CTGCTCTGGATTATGCCAGACAAAATCGACCCTGTTAGGGCCATTCTATAAGCTTAGCATCTCAAGGCATCTGGAGGGTTCACTACAATTACATCCACAGTTTCATAAAGCTGAAGGCAACAAAAACTGCTTCCAGGAACCACTGGTATCAAGGCCAGTCTAAATACACTGTGAGTTGCTGGGATGGTGTGCAGGAGGGCTTGGATTTCACAGCTGGATACTTCTAGCAAATTGCACTCTTTTCTATGCATAGTCCCTAAGGATTTCTCCTTAAATGCATAGATCCAGCTCTTGTATGTCTGGCAAACTCCTCCTGTATGCTTGCCAAGTTTTAAAGGGCAAAAAATCAACAGCTGATAGTTTATGCCAGGAATCAGCAATGATCCAAATTCATCCCTTGTGTAATTCTGGAAAAGCCTGTAGAGTTCCAGGGAAGAAGTTGTTGGCTTAACAAAGTAAATTTTCCCTGACATTTGAGGAATACAGAGTATCAATTAAAGTAGAGCTAATTATTGCTACTATTATTTGCATTGCAGTGGTTCCCAGAGGCCCTTAACAGGATTATAGCCTTCTGGTATGAGGAGTTTTTAGGAATGTAAGATCAGGAAGTTAATGTATGACAGCTAATATTTGGTACCTGTGTAGAAAGCCTCCAAGTTTGGAAGGGTTCCACAGAGCACAGGGCTTTGCTCATGGGTATGGGTCACAAGAGACTGAGCCTCTAATACTTCTTGTGCTGCTTTGAGGTTTGCCTGAAGTCATCCTACATCTCATTACTCTGTAAGGTATGATACAGGCCAGCTTGTGTCCAAAGGAAGAAAGTCCATTTTCAAACTTAGTCAAGACCAGTAATCATAGAATCATAGAACATGCCAAGTTGGAAGGGACCAATAAGAATCAATGAGTTCAACCCCTGGCTCCACACAGAATCACCCCCAAATCAGATAATCTGATTGATAGTGTTGTCCAAATGCTACTTAAATTCTGGCAGCTTGGAGCTGTGCCCACTAGCCTGAGGAGCCTGTTCCATGCCCACCACCCTCCAATAAAGAACCTCTTCTGATAACCAACCTGAACATCCCCAGTGCTTTATATTGCATCCTCATTAAGAAACCTCCAGAAACACTTCTAACTTTCACTTGTTCTGAGGAGTCATTCATGGGGTACAGCTTCCTTTGCCTAAGACACATTATACATTTCCACTCTATTTCCACTGAGTCTTTCATAAGGACTGCCTTACACATGCTAGCTTCACTTGGATTCAACTGCTGCCTCTAACACAAGTCAGTTTCTTGGTGCAGCCTTCTGTTCTGCAAAGCCCACAGGACTTCCAAGGTCCAGACTGAAAAAATACTCAAATAAAACCCTGTAATATATTTCACATCTGGGTTCCTCTGTAGTTTCTTGACTACTTTTGTCCAGATTACTAAAAATATTGCAAACGCTGGGGTCCAGAGCAGTACCTGGAATCCAAAGCTACAGCTGGAACCTCCTCCTGCAACTGAGATGTCCAGCTCCCCTTTCTCTTTTGATTCCCAGAGAATCAGCCAAGAGACACACGTTACACAAATGTCACGCTGAGTTAAATTGGTAGCTGCACTGCTTGTATATCTGGAGGCCAGTACTGCTTCATTCCCCTTTGCCTTGCTCACTGATTACTGCTATGCTGCCTAGACTGTAATGTATATCCTTCAGCCTGGGTTGGTGCCGGTGATAATTTATGTTTTGTACTCTGTTTCACTGTACAGTGCATTCAATCTGTTGAGATTTTGATCTTTGGTGGCTGACTAGATTTCTAGAGACTTCACACAATACACATTAATAATACACTTGACAGGCACACTGCTTGTTAGGACCATTTCTCAGCACACAAAGGTGCCCATTCTCCACCCAGCAGCTGTTTCAGTGGTCCTCGGGTCATGTTGCTCTGAAGAAATCATAACCGAAATAAGATTCATCAAGTAGGTTGCAGACAAGGTAGATAAGTTGCACCGAATGGATAAATAAATAACAAGAACAGTGAATGGAAACAGTGAAAATGACAGTGATAACAACAGATGATCTACATGAACAGGTTCTGAAGTTCTGAAGCTATGGTTAGTTTGGTGATATGTTTTCTATTCAAATATCTTCTATTCAAAATTAATCACATTTTTTATCATATTTCCATTGTTTTAATTCTCATGCTATTCTCATTCATGAAGACATCTACTTGATTTTTAAGTCCTCCCTATTTCCTCTTCCGCCTCTGCACTTATGTGGAATATATTTCATCTGCGTATACCTTTTAAGAGGCACTGCAGCCCCTGAGGACTGCTGTCTTTATCAACAGGCTCAAAGGCACCTATAATAGAGTGAATTCATTTTCACACACCTCATTTGTATCCTTTAAATCATGAATACCCAACTTTTGTCTTGCCTGGGCCACACTGAATGAAAAGAAATTGTCTTGGGCTGCATAGGAAATGTATAAGATAGTTGATAAATATAAGTAACAAAACTCATTTTATTCCTTTATCAGGCTGAGTGGAACTGGAATGAAAGCTCATGAAGAGACTGCTGTGGTACAAGAGAAGCCAAAAAGATATTTTCTCTAAGGAGTTAGCAGCCTCTTACTGTTGATAACACTGTTCTTACCTTCTTCGCAGGGAGCGTTCATTGGAATTAACTTGGAATTCTGCTTTATTGGATATCTAACCTATGGCTTTCAACCATTTCAGTGTGCAAGCAAAAAATAACAATCTGAGCAAAAAAGCCTACCTAGTTAGATAAAAGAATAGTTTAGCAGTTTTCTGCCCAGTTTACAGAGGGAAATGTGTTACAGCAGATGAAAGGTAAGCTGCCCCAGTAATGCAGCAAGCCAGAGCAGAGCCAGGGTTAAAGGCATCTTGAGTTCTTGCTCAGTTGTTTTTTTAATCCCATTGTAAAACAAGCTGTAGGATTCCCAATCACAGATTGGAAGACATGCCTGATGAGTACATTTTTTTGTAGAACTTTCAGAATTATTTAATAAACTGGTGATAGGTTCAGATTGAGGTATTTTAATTCATGGGTTTAAAACTTCCCGAAGCTGGCAATTCTGTTAATCTCTTATTTACAGAAAGAACTTGGGCATACTCACATTTTACAGCACAGGTTAGCTAGAACTGAGTGGAAGTAAGAATTTTTATTGAGAATCCAGAGCAGTTGTGGTACCTGGAATTTGAAAACTCACAGAAAGGAAACAGAACTCATCTGAGTGAAGGTGAGTACAGCCACTACTCTTGTTTCTGTCATCGTAGTTTGGGTCCCTGTTCCAGACCTCCTTAAGTTTAGGCATTCAGAAGCAGCCACTTTTCTTGGTACCAGAATTATACAAAATGATTGAAGAGTCTATGTACTAACAAAGAGACTAAGAGTAAACTATTCTATTACTCCTTTTTTTGGTATTAAATAGGTGTGTTAAGCATATGCAAGGAAATACTTGGTAACTTGAACTGCATTTGGATTGATAGTCACAGAAAGTCAAATCAGTACTAAAATAAGCACAAATATAGAATACCGAATGCCTATCAAGTATACTTTTACATATCTGAATGCCACTCAGATGTTCACTGTACATACTGTTTACATTTAATAACTCCATTTCCCACTCTCAGCCAGAAAGAACACAGAGATTTCTGTCAAGAGCTGTGAAATGTAACAACCTGCTGCTGAGACTGACATTCTCACCGCATATTTTTTTCCTGCAGTCTTTAAAGGGATCGCAGAACTCCCAGGAAATCCTTTTGCGTTGCAAAACAGTTACCCAAAAGAAAGATGGATACCAAGACGTGATGGCTGAAATCCCAGCCCCACAGGAATTGTCACATTTTTTACCACAGATAGTAGTAGGATTCACATTTTTACCTTCTAGGATTCATGTTTTACCTTCTACCTCTATGTGAGGCAATCAGAGCTGGGCAGATGGACTATGTATTAAGTTACTAGCGCTGACCTACTGGTGGTGTGTTTCCTAAATTAAAATTGGAGTGTACAGAAGTCTATCAAGAATAAATCTCTAGCTGTACAGTTGTGAAGCAAAGCTAAAAAATGAGACCAAATGCAATGCAGCGATGAGTCTTCAGGGAGCCTGGAGCAAAGTGACATGAGAACTTCCCTATTCTCTTAGCGTGGCTTTAATCAGATAATGTTGATAATTTAAATATTAACATTGTTAATTATTTCCATGAGGGCTTGTCCACTTGGGAAAGTTTTGCTTGTAACTTGAACTAGTCTTGCTGTAGGAGGCTCCACAGTATTCCTTAAGTTCACATTGGGCTTTACAAATAGCACAAACTAAGTTTGCTGTATTTCAGGGCACATTTCTATGCTCCTTAACTCTGTTCAGAATGCCACAAGCTCTCTTCCCCCATTAGAAGGAAAGCTAATACGGGTTGGCTCTCAAAGGTTAGTTTTCTGTGACATCAGTGACCTGATCTGCCCTGTGGTCACAGAGTCACTTAGTCCTCTAAAAAGGAGGAGCGTATTACCGAGCTAGGACGGAAACGCCTAGAGAAACGAGCAGTGGAAAAGGACTTTTAGCCTGCAGGCAGATTGGATCTAGAGTGCTATGTCAGGCAGATTGGATCTAGAGTGCTATGTCACGTTGGATATTTGGAAAAATTTCTGCTCAGAGATGGGGAGGTATTGGAATAGGCTGCCCAGGGAGCTGGTGGAGCGCTGGGAAACTGCTCTCAGCCATAAGGGTTGAGTGGTGCGGTGAAGAGCAGGAAGACGAACTCGAAGGACACTGACGAAGGCGCGCTGACGCTGCAAGCGATTCTACGACCCTCCGAGGGCCCAAACGAGGCGCTACGCAACGCCGCACAACTACAACCCCAACGCGGACACCACGCACGCGCACTCCCGCCCCTCATCCGTGCGCAGCTCAGCCCGCTCCACCTCCCGCACATACGCACTCTCGCCTCGCCCGCCCAGCCATCTAAACCTCAGGCTGAGAGCACTGCGCGTGCGCAGCGGATGCCGTCCGCGGCTCTCGTTGACCAACCAGCGGTGCCTATCGCCCTCCCTCCATGAGAGGGAGGGACCGGTCCTCCGCCATCCCATCATGCAACGCGAGGGCGGCGGCGGCGACAGCGACGGCGGTGGCGGCCGCCATGTTGTGGTAGTTTGTTGTTCGCCGGTGGTGGCTGCGCGTCGAGGGGCCGCTGCCGGGCGCTGAATCCGGGCCCTTCCCCGTTCCCTCCTCTCCCCGCCGCTCCCGGGGGCGGCACCGGAGGCGCTGTCGGGGCCTGCCGCCGCCTGGGCACGGCGAGGAGCCATGGCTGCCGCGCTGGGAGGAGGAGCAGGTGAGATGTGCGGCCTGCGCGGGGCCCGCCGGTGGGGCGGAAGGGAGCGGGTGCTTCTCTGTCGCGAGGGGCCGCGGTGGGAGCCCGACCCGGGAGGTGAGGGGGAGTGGCCGCGCCGTTGGCCCCGCGGGCGCCGTCTCTGCGGTGTCGGGGCTGCTGGGGCCGTTGGCTCTTTCTCCTGGGCCACGGTTTCGTTCCGCTTCGTCCCTCGGCGCCGGTTCGAATCCCCAGGTGGAATGGAGGCGTTCTGGGGTCTGTTTACTTCTGAAGCTTCTGTTCGTTTGGTTCCATGTTAGTACATTTATGGCGTGTGATCTGTTTGAAGAGCTGATCACTAATCTCGGCAGTCGTTAGAGTTTTGTTTCACAGGTAACCCAGAAGCAGAGCGTCTCGCTTGGAACGTGTAAAACGAAGTCGGTGTTTGGTCCCAGGGTTCTTGGCTGCACCGCTGCGCTGCTTTTAGGCTTCCACTTGCAGCATGTTAAATGATGGTTGGACCCAGTGCTGTTCTGATGGGCACATCAAGCACATCCTAAAACTGTTGCTTGAATGGTTTTTAAAGAAAAGACTGAAACACCCCATTGTGAACCGTGCAAGAGGGTTTTTTAGGGAATGTGTGTATTTTAGGAGCTGTGAGCCTTACCTTCACTGGGAATAGCAGGTTAGGTAGCTCTGATCAGTCATTACTTAACACATTGGTCCTTGTTTGCATGATGGTTTGTGATATTTTCTGTGCTGTTTTTGTTGTTGGTAGCCATCACAGAGAAGAACGTGGCTTGCACTTGCTGGAGTGCTCACGCTGCTACCAGTTAAGCAAACAGTGGTGAGCAAGGTATATAAATGCAATCACTGAAGGCAAATGTTACAAGGAAATTCCCAAATTTAAAAATTGAAAATTTTGGGCTCGGGAGGGCAGCACCAACTGGTAATATTCTGAATATACTGAGCGTTGCTGTTGAAGATGTTACATGCACTCTTAAGTTTTTTTACAGAAACTCTTGTGCTGTTTTCTGTGATTTGGTTACTTATAATGTGGAGGTAAATGTTTGCATTTTTGATTTGTGTGAAAGTTTTTTTGCTGGTGCTGTGAGTGAAGGGTATTTTAAAGAAACTGTCACTTCCTAATTACTTCAATTTGTGTGTTAAAACTGTTGGAAAAGTTGAATGAGCCAATGGTGGTCCGTGGTCCATTAAATGTGATATGTTTTCTATGGAAACAGTAGAGGTTTTAATCTGGGTGGTCACCTTGCAACACTTTATTGAATGAAAAACAGACTAGCAGAAGTGTCTATTGCATGCTAGTCAAGTAAAATTCCTGGTGGAAGTTCTTAAGTGCACTTCTAAACTCACTTCAAAAAGCCTGCCTGGTATTTACAGGAATGGCATACACAACTTTTCTTGATAAGAGGCTGCTATCTAAAGTCAATAGTGATATCCAATTGGGCGAAAGGCTTCCTAGGTGAAAAGACCAGGACAGTGTGGTTATTTGGCTTCAGAGCTGTTCATTACTTGATCGGGTTTCAGCTTGAGGAGTTAATGTTTTAGAATTCATTCTCAGAGTGTTTGTTTTTGACTTTAAATTGTGGCAATACAACAAAATGTTTTATTATTATTATTATTATTATTTTTTAAGGATGCTTACAGATGATTAGTAAAGTTGTGCGAAATAAGTATTGGAAAAATAAATGGAACTTGAGTGTGACACCATTTTGACATAATGTTTGGCAAAGTGAAGATTTTTGTCCTTGCAGATGCAGATTGTTGCCTGCAAGGATATGATGTGGGGCTGATAATTGAAGTACGGAACTGCTGTGTCTGCTCAACACTGTGTGTGTTGGATTGGATGGAAGGAAGGAAGTTGGTTTGTCTGTTGTGCAGATTGTGTAGAGTTGTTAGTCACTATTATTTATTTATTTTTTTTTAAGTTCTTGGGAAACATTGGCTTGATTCACAAGGATCGAGTGCTCATGTGTGCTCTGAGATCTTACAGTTGCTAGTCTGTTGATATGGTTAAGGTGGTGATTGCCAAACTTTAGTGCAAACTTGCATGCAAAACTGGGACCAGAGCAAACATTGAATGTTACAGTATAACAACTGTACAGTATAGCTGCTGAAATTTTTTCTTGATATTTAAAATGTTGCTTTGAATTGATGGTAGTAATCTTGTTCAGGATGAGATGGTTCAGCACATTCACGCTAAAACTAAGCAAGAGCACTTGTTGATTGTCTGCTCTCTGATAGCACTGGCACCTTAATGGGTAAAGCTTCTGTGTTTATGCCTGAATGAGAGTAGAGTCCTGGATGTGGTTCATTTTCTGGGTTTTGCACGCTGCTGGATGGAGTGATGCAGCTGGACACTTACACTGAAATGTATACACTCAAACTGCAGGGTGACAGAGACCTGTATCATGAAGTATGACTGGGCTACTGTATCAGCTGAGGACGAGTGCTAGAAAACATTACTACAAGCATATTTGCTTTCAAGCATAGAAGTTCTAAACGTATGAATGTTTTGAAAGGCTTTAAGGAAGAGCTACATTTCTCCACATATTATATCATTTAAGGTCATTATAATTGTTAGCCTAACCAGAGTATAACTTTTATTATTATTGCTGCTTTATTTTTTTTACGAAGCTGAAGCCAAACCCAAACTTTGTTACATCAAATGCTTAAGATTTTAGGTCATATAGAACTTACAGTCTAGAATGTTAAAGATGGTTGATTGTCTCAGGCTCAGCCAAAGGGACCTCCAGACAAGTAGTGTTACTGGTCCACTCAATGTTTGCTGGCTATGAAAGGTACTGAAGAGTTGAAATTTCTCATTGGTGTCCAAAGCCATTTGGGAGCTGAGCTCATGTGGATTTCATTTAAGCCTTTGGCCTTCGATTCACTGTTAGATGTGCTTATGAGGCAAGAAATCGTGACACTTACTGTTTTTCCAAAGCAAATGTATTATTAATTCCAAGCAGGCTTTGGAAACATTTTCTATGACTTGGTTTAAATGCAATCTTTTTTTTTCTTTTTTCTTTTTTTTTTTTTCTTCCTTTAAGATACTCCTTTCAAGCACGGATCAGGAAGAGCTTCAGTACCTGTGGCATATCACTGTTCGTTCCGTTCTTACAGCTAGCGACTTGCTTTGCATCGCTGTAAACGTAGGAAGAAATCTAGAAGCTGAGGGACACGTTGTGCAATTGCTGTGTTGTGACAGATGCTTAATCACTGAATGCTTAAGGCTTGTATGAGTAATTGTTTACCAACATGAAGATGATATGATGTTTGTCTCTAAACACATAAACCAAACTGTTTGTGTTCATGGGGTGTTTCTCCTGCATGTGTTCTCCTGTGCATAGAACAGTTGTACGAATGAATGCAATTTTTATGATAGGGAGCTTGACTGTCATAAGTGAAGCAGGAGTCATAGTCCTTCATCACGTTTGGTTTGCATCACAGGTCAGGGGTTCATGTTGACCTTGTAACTAATCATAACAAGAAAAGCACAAGTTTTTATTCAGTTGGTACTAATAGTACAGTTATGTTTCCACCCCATGTTTTAGACATGGCTGTTCCTCTTGAAGCTTGCTATTCGCCTGTATCACATAGCAAGAGATGTGAAAGAAAACTCAGTAGAGGAAGGCAACAGCATTCAAGTGGTATGCTCAAGTAATGGAAATCCAGGCTATACAGTACTTGTGTTGTATAAAATCTTGCAATGAAGCATGAAGAAAATGTTTACCAGATAGGCTTGTACACTGTTTTTGATCTTGCGACTCGTGTTTGTCAGGTTGTCATATCGAGTGTTTCAAGCACAGCACTGGGAAATGGGAGAGATCAAGATGGAGATGATTGTTTTCAGATCTAAGCATAGAAAAGCAGTGTTTTTCCATGTAGGTAATGGCTTTTCCTTTATCCCCATTTATTTATTTATTTAAAGTAGCCTCCTTCAGTTGTGCCCAGAAGCAGTGCACCTAGTTACTTTAAAAGCCCATTGCGTAAGCAGCGTGTGATAATTTTTTTTCTTTTCCGTTGACTGGATCTTCATTGCAAGTTTTAGCCTTTCTTCATCTTGTTTAGGTTAAGGAGAAATCTTTGGTGCTTTTTCAGTGCCTAAAAGTAATGGTAAGTTTGGTATTTTTGATTGTGAAATACTGAAGCGGGCCAAAGTATGTGATTTTGAACTGCTAAGGAGGTTCCAGAGACCGTGCAGAGAGTGTGCAGGTGCTTTTGTAGCAACAACTGTGTGGCCATGGAATGTTTTTCCCTGGCTGGAAATCTTGGGTTGCAGTAACACAGTAACATATTCCATCTTAGCAACAGTTGCTATGTAGAACGACCTTTTTAGGCTGCCTTGGTACCATTTTGAGATATGTGGGAGCTTTGCTCTGCAGTGTTCTTGCTGATTCACCTCCCACACTTGTGAGACTTTGACTGTGTGGCTTAGGACCATTTTACATGGAAAATTATTAGTGCAAGTTTTACTGAAAGGAGGACCAGAGAGTAGGAAATACCATCAGCATAGCTAGAGGGGAAATGAGGCTTGAATTCAGTGGGTTTCTAGTGTGGGCAAATTGTTCTAATAAGGTAGGAGGAGGGGAGCAAAAGACCACTGCCACAAAAAGACAAATGAGATCAGGTGTGATAAGAGGAGAAAATGAGCTGTACAACAGCTTACAGCTCTGCTCTAGCTGCACCAGGTGAAGTAGAAAGTAGTCAGACCTTTTTAGTGTAGGGGATGAAGTGTGTTTGGCAGTCTTTGTGCTTACTCTGGATTCCAGCTGCCCAGAGCCCTGTGAGGCAGGCAGGCCTAACAGCAGCCAGGGTCGGTCATTCTGCTGCATCCTGCAACTCTTCTGCAGCTTTGCAAATGGTGATTTTCTCAGTGCTGCCGTGAGGAATAACCAAGTATTGGCTTATTTCTCTCATTTTTCTAAATATCTGGTCTTTCCTGTTTTGTCATTCAGTTAATGCTTTTTTTTTTTTCTTTTTTTGGTATGTGACAGGTCTTGTTCTTTCCCTTACAGTGCTGCCTGGAAGTTAGAGGCTCTCTGTGTTTAGTGATCAACTGTCAGAATCTTCCAGTCGATACTATTAATCTACACACGCCTTGGTGAGCTTTGCCCTGAACAGCATGAGTTGCAACAAGGAGCCCTAGCTGTTGTGTTACATGTCTTGGCAGCAGTTGTAGTGTTCCATCCCTGGCAGCAGTGATATCACTGCAAGAAATACAAAACGTCTTTCACATCCTGCAGTGGACATTTTCCTGCTTAGAGGCCCTATGTTCATGGATTTCCCTCCTTCATTTTTTTCCTTCCCACCTTCCACATAAGAGAGAATTATTCAAGCAAGAAAAAGTTTTCTGTTGCAATGTGCCCGGTGCTGATTGTTTGTCTTTCTGTAAAAGTTAATGTTTTATGAGTACTTAACCATGCTTGACACAAAGATCGACTTCTTCAAGGGGAAACATCTACAAAGGTTATATGGGTTGTTGTTAACTGTTTTTGCCTGCGTGATTGGAAAACGTAGCTTCAGAAACAAAACCTCAAGCCACTCTGCCAGAGATATGCTAAATATCAAGTGGCACTGCGTGTGTAAGGCCTCGGTGCCCATTTCAGTGTTTGCTGTCTCAAGCCTTGAATCTGGGACTGAATAATGTTTGCAGGTCCATGACTGGGTGGTAACCTGATTTTCTAAAGGAGATTTAAGAACTACTTTGCATTCCGACGATGATCGATGGCATAGTGGTGTAATTTGTGGTGCTTGTTGTCAGTGTCAAATGCCAAGGGACAGATAAGTGTAAAGCCTAGAAAAGAAAGCTTCCTCTCTTGCCACAAAGATCCTGGTGTTGTGTGTGATGAGATGGGAAATGATGGCAAGGAAGTGATGGGGACATCTGGAGCAGCTCTTAGAAGCTCCACTCACTGCACACACACTGACTGGGCATTGCTGAGGCTTTGGGACACATCCTGCCACACAGCACTTGTGAAAAGAGTTTTGAAAGAGTGTAATGCAGCTTTGGATTTTGGTAGGAGTTGCTCTTCAGTAGAATGGGAGGATTTTTGAGAGGTTGGAGGAGTTGAAGTTTGTGTCAGTGACTGAATGGGGGTCCAGACATGCACTAGAAATTTGGCAGGAATTTGTTCTCATCGTTGCAAGTAATATTAAGTAGAAGCACTTTCCTGTCAGTGAGACAGAAGTATCTGGCCTAGAAAGATACTGAGTTGTAGTGAAGAGTTTTTCATTTTGCTGTACAGTAACATTAACAGAGAAGAAGATTTTGGTGTATAGCTTGGTGCGTGTTGTCTAGATTTAAACTTAGCTGCAGTTCAAGTCCGTCTGTGTAAGAGTTGTGTGCTGGATTTCATCATGACAGAACTAAGATCTTGTCTTCAAGCTGTGTTGGTTTATAATGAAATGCTCTATGCTTCTAAAGGTGGTACCTGGGACACAAAACCTCAGGTTTTTTTTCAAGGAACACAGGCAGATCATAGAAAGAAATTGCTGGCTTTGTGGTGATGATGATTGTTTTCCACTGACTTAGTCTGTGAGCATTCCTAATTTGGGTTACTGCAAACTCAGGCATATTACTTTAAACAACCTTTGTAGGTGGTTATATCAAGTAAGTGCATTACTGCAGTTCAGCTGTAAGAACAGTGGCACTGCAGGATATTTCTGCCTTAAAATGGCAATCCACTGTGATAATCCCTGCTGCATGGTCTTGAATTATTTTCCCTAGAATCATGTGGCAGTTCTTTTAGTGATCACAAAATTGGATAATTTGGTGTTCAAGAGGAGGACAGTCTGTGTCTGAATATCTGGCTTTTCCTTATAAGTAGGATAGAAATTGAAGGAGATTGTGGTACGTGGATGTTTGAGCAGAGAGGTGGAAGTTCGGAGTTTGTTTTAGTTGTGAAAACACAGAATATCATTTAAAATATAGCCATATCTGAGGGCAGTAAATGGAATCAAGGAGAGTTGTTTTTGTCTACTGTTTCAAAAGCAGCGAGTTGCCGCACATCTTTTATTGCACTGTAATTCATACTGAGCATTCTTATTCTCGTAGTTACATATGATAGAAAATTCAGCTCTGGGAACATCACTAAGCCAGCAGTTTTTAAAAGAAGTTTCAATTTTTAATGTTGTTTTTTCTTTTTGTTTTGTATTGGTCACTAATACTTGTATTTTGGTTATGTGAAGAAGTGAATAGATGTGTTGATGCATGTGGTGAATGCTGAGATTGAGTTTTAAGAGGAAAGGTAGATTTGGGTTTTTTTTTGTTTTTTTTGGGGGGGAGGGGAGGAGGGGCTTGTTAAGGGCAGAAATGCAGAAAACCAGTTGATTGTTGACATTGTACTTAGACAAAGACTTGAGCACAGATTGTGCTGGAGGATGACTGGATATCTGTATGCTTAGTAACAGTGTAAGCTACTTCCAGTTCTTGTGTAGTTTGTTTTCTTTTAAACTCTGGCTGAGACAACTGAAGGGTTTTTTTGCATGACTTTCTTCTCTTCCTTCGACTTCTTGGGGTTGCTGGTGCCTTCCTGTGTTGTGCTGATGCTTGCTGCCATTTTCAGAGTACCTTTCCAGGACCCCGGTGTGGATGGATGGGTGTGATGTGCACAAGGCAAGCAAAGAACTGTTGGACATCATTTCCTTGACCTCCAGTATGCTTGAGCTTCATGAATTCCTGGGAAGCTTCTGTCTCTGAAGTGGTTGCTTTAGAAACAACCTTGAATTTCAATAAGAATGATTTCATGTAGTTGCCTTTTCTTTTGTTTTGTATTTAAACAGATGATGACTTTGATCAGTTTGATAAGCCTGGTGCAGAAAGATCTTGGAGAAGAAGAGCTGGAGATGATGAGTGGGACAGGTGAGTAGAATATTTTTATGTTCAGCTTCTGTATGTTAAATGACATTGCTGTGTTTTCTGATTCTCACATTTTGTATTCTAACATTTGCAGTAGTGCACATTTAGATACTAATGAAGATGTTGGTTGTTATGCATGTGTCAGCAGATGTTAGACTGTGCCAAATGTATACTTGCCTTGAGGAATATAGAGAACACTATGAAGAGATGCTATTTAAAATTAGATAAGTATAAAGCGTTTGTGGTGTGTAATTAAATTTACAATTACTGTCCTGGTTTTCCTCTACATCTTTAGTAGGATCTTAATAATTGGCTTAAACAGATTTTTTGCTAGTACTTGAATTTGGGGATTTTTAAAATAGATGTTTAAATTCTTCAAAATCCTTTGGTAATGGAGCTTACATATGACCTTCTATTGAAAAATATATGACAGCTATGGGGATTTAGAAATATGCATGAACTTGGTTATTTTTGGAGTGTGTGTGTGTGTGTGTTCTGAAAAACCTATGTCTAACTGCTGATTTGACTTGTCTGTTCTTTATGGCAGAGAACTTTTCACTTCTTGTGAAGTTGATTTTTTTGTTATTCCTGTTTGGCAGCTGAGAGACTTGTTCAGACTGTGCCAGTTGTCACCAGGTTTCACTGTGAAAAACGGGGAAAAAAATGAAATAAGTCTTATCTAATAATCACTCTTGTGATTGTAGTAAACAAACTTTACTGTAAGTAGTTTTCCACTGAGCTGAGCCCTGGGAGTGAACCAGCTACTCTGCATTTATTGTCATTCCTAAGGGATTAGTTAGTTTCCTCTTCCCTGCTTTCCTGCTAGGCTGAGTGAGCAGTTCTTATTGCTCTAGGACATAAGTAAGAATGAATAAGGAACTCAGACAATATCTTGAGTGTACAGTGTTCTGCTGTGAAGGATATTGCTGCTCTGTCATGCCAGCACAGCTGTGGGTTGGATGGTTAACTGCATCAAGGAACTGATCTGCTTTGAGAATGCAATTAAAGTAACTTGTTGGAGGCAACTCTCTGTACTGTGCTGCCTCCCAACCCCAGAAATGTGATGTTGTGTTTGAGGTAGCGTGAGACACCTCAAAATTACTGAAACCAATGTCATGGACAAATGTTGGTAGTAGAATATCTTTTGTTTCTTTTTTCCTTTTGCTGCTGACTTCATGGTAGACTTTTTGATGTTGATTGGCCCTATTTGTTTTGTAGCTCTCAGAATGGCTAAAGCATAGAACCGCTCAGGTTGGAAAAGACCTTACAGATCACTGAGTCCGATCATGACCTAACCACACTACTCTAACTCTTAACAACCCTCTACTAAATCATGTCCTGGGCTACTGTTACTGTGAAAAGTGGTTTGGAAGAGTCAGACAGTAACTCCACTGGAAGAAGTAGTGCATTGCTGCGGGTAAACCCCTGGTAGCAAAGCTATTTTCATAGGACTTGAGAAAGGTTATGGAATATTTTCACTAAGCTGACATTTTGAAACACAGAGTTTTAGACAAATGCTTTGTCTTTTAAATTTGCTTTTATTTTTTTCTTGATTTATTATTAGAAGTTGTATTTTATTTATTCTTTAGTAGAATTGTAAGGGAAGTGATTTCAGGTTCAGTACTGGTGATTCATAGAATCATTATGGTTGGAAATGACCTCTAAGATCATCTAGTCCAGCCATCCATTTACCACCAACGTTGCCCACTAAACCATGTTCTGTAGTACCACATCTCCACATTTCTTGAAAACTTCCAGGGACAGTGGCTCAAACATCTCCCTGGACAGCCTGTTCCAGAACCTGATCACTCTTTAGGAGAAGAAATTTCTCCTAATATCCAACCAGAACATCCCCTGGCACAACTTGAGACCATTTCCTCTTGTTCTATCACTTTGACACAGGAGGAGAGGCAGACCCTCACCTTACCACAACCTCCTTTCTTGTAGTTGTAGAGGGCAGTAAGGTCCCCCCGAGCTTCTTCTTCTCTGGACTGTTCTCCAGAGTGAGCGATCCCAGTTCTCTCAGCTTTTCCTTGTAGGACTTGTGCTCCAGTCCCCTTACAGCTTTGTTGCCCCTCCCTGGATATGCTTCAGGGCCTAGATGCCTTTCTTGTAGTGAGGAGCCCAAAACTGAACACAGTACTCAAGATGTGGCCTTGTCAGAGCTGAGTACAGAGGGTCGATCACCTTCTACCCCTGCTGGCTGCATTATTTCTGATACAAACAAGGATGGCATTGGCCATCTTGGCCTCCTGAGCACACTGCTGGCTGATGTTCAGTTGGATGATACTCCCAGATCCTTTTTCTCTGCACAGCTTTCCTGCCTTCTACCAAAGCCTGCAGTGATGCATGAGGTTGTTGTGGCCAAAGTGAAGGACCCAGCACTTGGTCATGTTGAAGATCATCTCATTGGCCTCAGCCTGGCTATCCAGCCTAAGTCCCTCTGAGGGGCCTTTCTACTCCCAGGCAGGTCAGCACTTTCTCTCAACTTGGTGTCATCTTCAAACTTGCTGAAGGTGCCCTCAGTCCCATTGTCCAGGTCATCTGTATAGATACCAAACAGGACAGACCCCAATACTGACTCCTGGGGATCACCACTCGTGACCAGTAACCAGCTGGATTTAACTCCATTCACCACTAACCTCTGTGCCCAGCCCTCCAACTGGTTCCTTACCCAGCAAAGTATGTATCTGTCTAAGCCATGGGCTGCCACCTTCCCTGGGAGAAATCTATGGGAGACAAAAAGCCAAAAGCTTTGCTGACATATATAGAGTATGTCAGCAGCCTTTCCCTCATCCACCAGGCTGATCACCCAGTCATCTTGCTGATCATTTGAGAGAATACTTCCTGCAAATTTATCTAATGGAGCATTATTTCATTTGCAAATGTTAGAATTATTAATATTTTAATACTACTTTTTCATAGATTGCAGTGCTCTCTTGTGGAAGTGTTGACTTCTGTGTTTGTCTGGGCGACTGTGAATACCTTGCTCCTGAGTATGTTATTGCCTAACGTAATTGCTTGAAACTTTGTAACTGCTGGCCCTGTTCTGTATAGGACATGGTTTACTGAAAATGATAAATGAACGTGGGATTTCTTTGATTCCTCGTGCTTCGTTTTGCAACTTTTCCTTACTTTTCTGGGAGGAGGGCGAGGGACTGATGCATCGTCCATCCACACATGCACTGCATTGCTTCTTAAGTCCCATCCCCCAGACATGTAAACCAGTTTGAATTCCCAGCTCTTTCTGTTCTCAAACAGTGGAGGGTGATTACTGAGAATCAGAAGGGTTTTATTATTTTGGAGTACAAATATCACATTGTTCTTAGAGAATTTTTCCCATTGCTTTTCTCTGGTTTTATTTTAACATTCTTTCCCAAAACATTTGTCCTTGCTACTGCTCATGTTTAATGGGGCATGCTCATGAAATCAGAGGCCAGAAAGGCCCATATAATCTGATGTGTTTATCACGGGCTGTTAACTTATACGTATATCTCTACAAGTAGCTGCAAACTTGAGTTTGGGAGAAATGTACCGTTCTGGTGCTGTTCAGTGAGATGACAAAAGTGATTTGATAGTTGATTTTTGTGGAAATTTATTTCTTCTGACTCTCCTCTGGGACAGTTTCTCTGTACTGGCAAAAAATGTCTTCCATTTTGTTGTGTTTCTTTTTTGAGGGTATTTTCTCTTGCTGATTTGGTGAGCTGAATTTATTCAGTGGGGGGAACAATTGAAGTCAAAGAAGGGCAGGTAATGAGTCTGTCTCTTCAGAGACAGAGCAGCAAACTATTTGATTACTGTAGCCCAACTTTCCTAGAACTGCAGCATTAGGAAGACTTTTGTCTTAGTGATAGTGAGGATCAGTTTCCTTTGGAACTGTCACGGGTGTGTACTTTTATTCCAGCTTAATTTGTTTTGTATGGCTTTGGTATCAGCTTGCAGCCATTTGGTTTTCTCTATTTTTCCCTGCTGACCTAAAATCTTGTAGTAGTGGTTTTGTTAGTTGCTTTAAGAAGTGAGATCTGGTAATTCTGGTTCCTCTTTGTTCTGACCTGTAACTTCAGATTTAGCTATTTAAAAGAAGCTTGAGCTATGTATGCTTTATTGTGTAGGCTTTCCACTATTTCTTTGTTTATTCAAATAGTAACCAACTTTGCTCATTTAGAAGAAGAAAAAAACAACGTAAACATAGAAAAACACAATGAACTATGACAACTTCCCAGTTGTTATGAGCTTCATTTATGTGCTAGTGCAATTTTTTTGATTGTCATGTTATATTTAGAGTATGTTTGCAATTACTTCTATTGATCAAATCTTTCTTAAAAAGGAAAGTAATCACATCAAAAGTTTTTTAGTAATATGTTGAATAGCCCTAAATATATTTAGACAATAAAGTCAATCTTTCATTGTTTTACAGTTCTGAACTTCTTACTAGCTTGGCTTGCTTTTGTCTTTGAATGTTTGTGCAACACATGCTTGCTGTCTCTTGCAATTTGTTTTGTGCTATTTATTAAAAGCTGTCAGTGGTGGACTGTACTGCTGGGAAGTGTTTTCAAATCTCGGTGCATTTGTCAGGTTACTGGCAGCTGATTCTGTGCTGAAGAGATCAGACTTGTTTCCCTACCTTGGGTTTGGCTTTAAATTGTTCTGGAAACAATTCTGTTACAGAAAGTTTTCTGTCTCTGAAATGAAGGGCTTAAATTCTAGCTCTTCTACTCACTGAATGCGTGGTACGTCTTATGGCCTAATTTGTGCTTAATATTGCTCACAGTGATCACAGAACAGTTGCTATTAATGTTCAGTCATTCCTGGAACTGTTTGAGATCGGTAGCTACGGGCAAATACTGTGTGCAGATGATACCATCCTATTCAGTGCTGATATGGAAAATAATCACTTTTCTCAGAAGATTGTTTTTTATGTTTTCAGGCGCTACCTGTACACTAGCTAGGTCTTAACAAGGGATATCTGTCAACTCTAGCAATGCTTTATGCCTTGGGATTGCCTTTAACTTTAAGTCCTCCTCTAGAACTCTAAAGAATTCTTACGCATTTACGCCGGTATGACTTTGCTTTCTAGTTGCTTTGAAAGAGTGGCAAATACATTCTTTTTTTGTGGGCAGAAATACTATGAAAACTATCTTTGCTTTTGATTCTGCTCCTAAGGACTGTTCTCACTTTGGGGTATTTAATTTGTATGTAATTTGATTGATTGTGGGTTGTTTTTTTCTTTTTAAGTGGGTGTAGGTTAAAATGGATTCTCATTCTTGAGTTAGAGTTCATACATCAAATCACTGTCATCTCATTTTAGTATTAGCTCTTGCTTGTTCTAATATTGGCATTTGGCAGTAAGAAGTATTTTGTATTGAAGGGTGGGTCTCCTGGGGCTAGACAACCTTTTTACTGAGGAGAGAACAACTTGTTCTAAATCATAGGAGTGTAATTCCTTATTGTTGCATCCTCTTTATTTGTGGCAGAGATATGATGGAAGAAGTTTTGTGAGCCAAAACCTTGTATTTTTGTTTCCTGAATTCTTAGTCATTCTCAAAGTGGTGGTGAGCCACAGATCTGATTTCTGTAGTCCCACGGATGTCTGTTTGACCTGTCTTTATTTCCTCCTCCTGAAGCTTGGAGCTTTCACAAAATCTATAGGCCTTAATGCCTCCCAGGTTAGCTGGTTTCCAAGTGCCTTCTTCTTCAAATGCAGCTTGGATGGTGTAGCCTGGAGGCTGAGTGCTGCCTGCAGCATGGCATTGTCCCACCTGCAGCTTCTGTGGGGAAGGAACAATTTGGACAATATGCCCAAGAGGCCTTAAAAAGAAGGACCTTGAGCAGGGATCTGGCTAATCATGTCATAAAGCAATATGCTTTGCCTAGGTCTTTGTACTTTGTCATGATAGGATGGATTTGGAAAGGGATAAAGAGAAATGAAGTGTTTGCACAACAGCAGTGTTACCTTAATGTGTCTGGTTTGTGGTTACTTTTAAAATCTTTTTTTTCAACTTGCTAAATGTTTCAATGAAAGGAAAGCTTTGTGTGGAATCAGTAAAAATTCTCAAGTTACTTTCCTAAGCCGTGTACCCGAAATAATGTGTCTTTCTGTTTTCTGAGGTTCAACTTTGAAAAATGTCTTAATATTTTCCAGTGAACTTGAAGATGATTTGCTTGGAGAGGATTTGCTTGCTGGCAAAAAGGTAAGAGATGTACATTAAGCGAGTTGTTATGCGTATTGAAATGTGAACTTCATTCATCTCGTTCACTGTAGTTATTTGATGTGGCTTTTTATGTATCAAACATCCCCAAAGACAGCCATGTTGCTCGAGTATCTGAGATCTGCTGTTTTAGCAGAGCAATCTGTGCCTGTGTCTTTTAGTGAAATGCCTCCAAGTATGATGATTTTTAATTATTTTTTTAATTTTTTTTTCCAAAATAGTATTTGTTCTTGAAACATACAGTTCAAAAAAGAGTTGATTCTCTAAATTGATTTATCTGAAGTTCAAACTGACTTAATTAAAAAAAAAAAAAAAAGCTTCCTGAAGCATTCCTGAGAATTCATTTAAGCTGTCAGTTTCCTGTCTATGTAAAGCTATTTAAAGAATACCAGTAATGTTGTGCTGCTCATTCCCAGCAGTGTTTTACTGAGGTCTGTGTGAGGTGCTCTGATTCATCCTGGGCAGTGAGAAAAGTAAAACAACAAAAGAATGTAAAAAGTCAATAGTATCTGTAGGTAGTGCTACTATTTTGTGGAGCAGGTAGGCAGAGGATTTCCCCTTCTACAGGGAAGGCAAGGAGCAGCTAATGCTGGAGAACATAATTGAATTTACAAAATTGAACTGTATAACAGAACTGATACCTGAAGGAGGAGATAAAATTTAATGCTTGGGAAATCAAAACTGGCTAATTGCCCCTTGCTTCTCTTTATCTGCTAAATGAGTTAATTTATGAAATGGTTTTTAAAGTTATGTTTGAAGATGACTAGGCTTAAGTCACCCAGATCCGGTAGAAGTTGAGTTTTAATTGATGTGTTTTCCACACTCTAAATATTAAAAGCTAGCTTTGTGAAACTGCTCTGTCAGTAATTTCTGTTAAGATAGGAAATCCTGTTGTCTGATAGACCGGCTATCCAAAATGTTAAATGTTATCCAAATGTTAACTATATGTGTATATATACAGTGGTTAAAATGTGAGTTGATAAAGCTGCTCACTTACTGAAATTAATCTGTGTGAATATTACCAGTACTGTATTTCTCCAGTGTTTGATGAGACTTGTGCCCTCCTTCGTTGTGTTTGCAGTTTTCTATCTTGGTGCTCAGCAGTTTGTGTGGGTATGGACTTGAGTGGTGGAGTAGTGCTAGGCTTCTTGGGGAGTTTTCCCTGAGCTGTTCAATCTAAACTTGCTTCTACTTAATCCTATCTCAGTACTTTCAGTACTATCCTTGTGTAACCTTTCTGCCTCCGTAACTGCAGAGCAATGGGAATAATGTGGCTAAGCAAAGCCGCGGTTCTCTCCTTCTGGTGTGTAATTATTTAGAACAAAATAGTTAAAAAATATGTGTATGAAGAAAGTGAAATTAGGATTGGCAAATAAGGAGTTTAGAAAAGTCACAATATTTTATAAATTTTTACTTCACTTGAAAGCAAATTATGTTGTGTCAATGTTCTTAATATCATTACATCATGTCCTCCAGCCTCCTAAGTATTTCTGCCCTTTAGAAAGAGGCGTAACTTGGTGTTTTTCTTGAGTTGCCTGATACATCAGGGTCACAAGGCAGTAAATAGGGGCACTGATGTTAACATTCCTCTTATCCTGGTCTTTCAAATGAGTTGTCATATTTAGCTACGCATGGGAATACCTCAGTGAAAGTCTAGATAGCTGGGCAAGTCTGAGTAAGGCTGTGAAATGTTTATTTACAGATTTGTTGTTTTTTTAGTATTGTTTTTTCTTGAATTAGGTGTCTGAAATATGTTCCTCATTAAAAAATAATGCCAATGTTCAGAAGTTTGAGTAGTTTCTGTAGTTAAACTTTGTGTACTTCTTCTGATAATGATTGACTTTTTCTGAAATCTAGAATCAATCAGACTTGTCAGATGAAGAGCTGAATGATGACCTCCTGCAGAGTGACAATGAAGAGGAACAAGAATTTCGGTATCTCTTTTCTAAAGCCTGTGTTCTGGATAACTGTGAAGTTACATGCACAACCAATATATGCAAAGTGTTAATGGCTACCACTGATGATAGCTAATAATGAAACTAAAGCTAAACTGAAATTGTTGTATATTTGAAACATACTTTTGCTTCTTAGTTACTTAATGGTGTATTATATAGTGTGTTCAGTAGCATTATTAGCAAATGAGTAAAATGATGGTTAGCTTATTTGAATAAAATTAACTTAAAATCTATACTAAAAAAAATAGTAATAACTTGAAGAAATGACATCTCCTGTGCTGTTTATGACTATCTGTGAGTCTTGCAGAACTTGTGTTCTATACCTTGTTTCTGTTACAGTAGACTTTCTCCTCCTGACAAGTCCTTTCACTGCCATTCTGCTTTTAAAAATGTATCTTATCCCTGAATATCTTGAGGAGTGGAGCTCCAGAGTTTATAAAGCTTGAACCGTGGCTTAAATATACGTATAGAGTACACAGAAGGAAATTTGTGTGAGGTTTTTAGGTTAAGCAAGGATGTAGTTGTTTGGGAGCTTGAGGAGTCTGCCTTGTGAATGCTGTATGTTGATACAGATCTTAAATTAGCACTTAAATTAGGTGCATTACAAATCCAAAAGGCAGTCTTAATAGCGTTGTGAAAATTTTGGTTCAGATAGGCTTGCTCAATTATCTTTATCCCAAAAAGAGGTGGAGGAGTGTCTTTCCCTTTCTTTATTTGAGTAAAGGGAGAGACTGTGGGGCCAACCCTGCCACAGAGTCTCTCAAAGTTTTGGAGGTGCTGAGTCTTTTCTATCCTTACCTCTCTCCTGCTTTCTCCCCTTGTACGTGATCCTGCTGTGTATCATAGCATTGCATGTGCAATTCACTCTTAACTTTATGCAGTCCAAGGTGAATTAGTTAATATTATTTAGCCTATTAAGCCTGTACAGTAAGTCCAAAGTTCCTGAGTTCAAGCTCTCAGTCGATTGCATTTGCTTCTCCTGATTTCCTCGGATTCTTTTTCCTGACAAACCTCATTTGGGGAAAGTTTACAAAATAAGTACAGTTATCTAGCAGAAAGTAATTTGCAAAACTTTGCACAACCTGTTTACAAGGACGTCTTGTAAGCAAGCCTCAATAGTTCTGAGCTGGATTGAAAGATATTGGAAGATGCTTGTAATGCAGTATGACTGCTGTTTTTAATGACCTCTTCCTTCGGGTGCTGCTGTTCTTGATGTGTCATGCTATGCAGGTGTATGTTCTGAATGGTTATGTTGGTGTTGCTCTGCAACCTCCTTCCTGTCTTTGGTCTGGATTAGGACATGGGGATGCCTCCCTTTGTTGGCTTGATGATGGTGAGGTAAAATAGCTCTGACCATTCATCTCTGTACTGACTGCTCTTCCTCCTTGCAGGAGTGGTCTGTTCCCTTCAGCATGGGAAATCCTTGCTGTTTCTGCTCTGTATTTCCTCCTTGTGAGCTATGGGCAGCAGGGATAGCTATGTGACTGTATTAGTGCTGAGAAAGTACCTGAAGTGTAGTAGTGAAAGCAGGTTTCTGTAGAAAATTATTGCATTTTTAGCAGCTTTATTGCCAGGATATGAAAGCTTTGGTCCACTCCTCTCCCTTTGTTTCCTCTGAAACTCATCTGCCTCTATAGTTGAGAGGATAATGATAATCCTGCATAATGTCTTGGTTATTGTGTTAAATCTTCTCCATCTGATAGATGCAAATTGCTCAAAGCTGCCTTGATTTTTGTGCCTTCAAACTTACAAAAATGGTTGATAATAGGAATGTAATTTGAAAAGCAACAACAAAAAGCAATCTTTTTTTCCTTGTACCCAGAACCTCTCAAATCAAAGAGCTTTTTGTCCCTGCTTTTATAACTGGTCTGTGTTAATGAGTCATTCTTTTCTGTGTTGATGACACTAGCTGTGTCAAACAGTAAATTCTGAGTTTTGCTTTTCTTCCAGATAATCTTCTTGATGTTTTATTTTGCTTCTATTCCTTGTCTATACCAGTGCTGTTACTAATTTAGAATCTTAAGCATTTAGAAGACATGCATATGTATTTGTAATTTTGACAATATGTATTATACTAGAATAGTGAATCTGTAAAAAAAAAAAAAAAACAAACAAATTCAGTGTAATTAAGAATGAACAACATTAATGCATACAATTGAAAAATGATTTACAGGTTTGAGAGATTGGGAAAGCAGATGCAGTTATGGTAACTTTGTGAATTTTCTGTTAGTCTTGGAATTAAAATTAAATCCAGCCTGCTTTGGTTAGTGAGCAGGACTTTTGCCAGTTTGACCTGTTAAACCATCTGGCTGGTTTGATTCCCCTGGTCAAATAGCCTGCAGCTAGTGATAAGCTGCAGTACAGTATGCATTGTGAGAGTGTGGCATAGAGTCAAATAGTGTGTGAGGTACAATTTTATTCATAGACTCACAAAAATATGTATTTGTTGGCTTTATTTTGCTCAGCCTTTGTATGCACACTTGAGGATTTTATACTTCAGCCTTTTAATCTTTTTCCCTTATGCTGCAGTTCTCAAGGTGTCACGGTTAGCCTCAATGCTACGTCTGGCATGTTTACATCATACGAACTCTCTGAGAACATCAACGATCCATCAGTCGAACACGGGTCTGGGTACAACCAAGGAGAAGATGAAATTGGTTACGACAAATCTGAAGCACCTGAAGTGTATGCTTCAGAGTATTCTGAGGAAGGACATTACGAAGGCAACGATCCTGAACTGACAGAAGACCAAATAGAGTATGGGGAAGAGCCTGGAGAAGATGATGAAGTGCTAGACCTTGAAATCAATGAACCCCTGGATGAATTTCCAGTGAGTTTCTTTCTATTGTATCTTCGAAGATAACATTGCTTCACGTGCATAGGGTTTCAGACTGATTTGAAAACTGTTTACCTCCCTAGGGAGGAGGGGAAATTAGACCTATTATCACTGTCTGCCAGTTTCTTTATCTAGGCTGTGACAAAGTTTGTGTTGACAGCTTGTTTGGCGGTAGGTAATGCTCCTTTGTCATGCCGGAAGGCAGTTGAGAATCATGACCTTGAGGATTGTATCCTTAAAGAAGAAAACAGCTTTGTGTGGTGGAGATACACTGCCAATTGTTAGAAGTACTTAATGCAAAAGCTTTTATCCAAGCTTTAGGCAAGATCTGATAAAGTCTTTCGAAGGTGAAAAGATTATTGACCTGCTAAAGACATCTTTAAGGTGCTAATATCCCAAAGTGATTGATGTCCTGCTTGTTCATCCTTTTTGTAACTGAGAACTGTCTAAACCTGAATAAAGAGATTGGAGGTTAGTTCAGAAAATGTCACCTGCATAATTTGGTATGTTTTAAACAGTACATTAGAGAACAAGTGCTGGCTTTAATTGCTAGATAAATGATATAATCTTAATTAACACTGTATGTGATCAGTGAGATGTCTTAAAATGTCATCAGACTTCATGAGAGGACATTTTTGTTCTCCTTTATTGATCAGAAGTATACGGAGTTATTGAGAATTGTACAGAATGTAACTCATTCATTTGTAAATGATCTCTAAGAATATTTTCTAAGAATATTTGTTTTTGTTGGACTAAAGTCTGGTGTTTGTGTGTGCTGTGGGTACCTATGTCTTCTGGAAAGAAATGACTGCAATTCTTGCTTCATCAAAGGATGTAGAAGTACAGAAGCAGATGGCAGCTTTATGAGATGACATTATTGGAAACAATGAAAACATTTTGGTTATATGTATTTTTTAATAATATTGAAATTATGATCTAGTTAAAAGCCTGATAATTATGCCTCCTATGATCTATCACTTATAGTTGAGAATTCTGATAGATACAATTATCATCCAGTTCTGAAAATGATAACAATGCATCCAGAGCCTGCTTCTTGATGGATTTGTTTCTGTAAAGTTGGCCTGTGTCTTCACAGTTTCTTGCACTGTTGTTTTAGGATGAAGATTACATGCAGTCATACAATCAGCAAGCAATGGAAGAACAAGGAGAGTATACAGCTGATGAGGAGCTGGAAGAATCACAGACAATGACAAATGAATCTGAAGAGGTATGTCATGAATTTAATGGAAAACTGAATTGAGTTGTTTCAAAATTAGAATTGGCAGTATTGCTGGGTAGGAACTAATGCAGTTCTGCCAGTGTTGAATTATTGGTGCCATTACTCTTTTTATATAAAGATGAGCTGTGATAGCATCTAATGTAATAGCACTGCCGGGTACACGGAGTGCTCTCTGCACCTTGGGCTGATAATTGTAGGAGAGTTCAAAGTGTTTGTGTTTAATCTTAGGTTCAGCATTAGAAATTTTAGAAATCCTTTGGAGTAGGAGAACAATGACAGTGCAATGTGGTTAGGCTGTTTAAAATCTCTGGTAGCAGTGGTGCATCACTTTTCAGATAGGTGATTTCCTGCTGTTAAGAGTGATGGTGGAGCTTCCTGGTATCACATTTTGAGGATGAGTGAGAACATAATATGAATATTATGACAAAGATGAAGTCTTTGTGATGAAAGAAGTTGTATTGGGACAGAAATTTCTGTAAAGTTCACTTTAGCTTTTTGGTTAGGAAGGGACAGGTAAGTTCCTTCATTTGCAGGGAGGAAGCATGTGCCAAAAACTGTTCAAGTACATCTTACAGCCTGAAACAATGATATCATACTTGTTACTAATTTGCCTTCCACACCAGATGCTTGCTGCAGAGGGATTTTTTTTTTCCTTTCCCCACCAGAAATCTGGTTTCATATTACTTTTATCCAGTTCTTAATTAAATAGGATTGAGTGTGATACCTGCTGAGAAGCGTAGTCAGAGTGTGTGCCCTCTGTGGAGACTGAACTCATCAGAAAATTAATTCCTCAAAGACACAGGAGCATTCTTCTCTGAGGTGCTAGCAAATGGGTGTGCTGTGGTACTCTCCAGTTGCATGAAACTTAAAATAGCATTCTTTGGTATAGGAGCAGAGATATTGAAAGACAGCCTGTAGTGTTTACTCTTCTGTGCAGGTGTGACATCCTCAACCACATATAACTTAAATATCATTTATTTCGTTCGTATTAAACTTATCCTTAAAAAAAAAGCAAACAAACAACTAGTACAACACTTGAAGAACTACTTTTTCTCCATTCACTGGATAAACAGTTCTCTTGTGTTCTAAAAGCAGTCTGCACTTGTGCTATCTGCATCCAAGGGCTCTGTGAGATGGTAAGAGCACTGCGTGTTATATAAAATCAAGTACTGATTTCTCTGTCAAACTTACTGCTTAGAGAAAGCACAGCTTTGTATTTAGAATATAGGGAATATTTATTAGAGAACTCTTGATTAGTTGAAATTTTTCTAGTTCAGAATTCAGTTGTTTTCATTCAAAAGGCAACATGAATGCATTTTTAATTGACTTTTTAATAGAAGTTGTTCAACATGGAATGCAAATGTTTTGTCTGCTTCTTTGTGCACTTGATCTATATTCTGACTTGATTTGCATGCTTTGCAGATTGCTACAGCTTTATTTCCAAGATAGTACTATCTTTTTATTTCTTTTCCATTCCAGGTATGTTTTATTTACTTTTGTATGTAGGCTACCAATTGGATTCTCCCAAAGAGTATACCACAGGGAGAGAGAGCCAGAGTATGCACTCCTGTGTATGATACAGATGCATGTCTTTAACTACAAACATTTTTATTATTTGGATGTTATGTAATGTACAGCCCTCACTAAATCTAATAACATTCACAGCTTGCAAACGAGTAATCGTTGGCATCTCTCCTGTGGAAGATAGAGCGCAAGACTGGAGCTGTATTAAATAAAGTACAATTAAATAGTGTTATTTTTGAAAATTGGCATCTCATTAATGAAAAGAGCTTGATAGAAGTGTTTTGCAGTGCTATATCTTAAGCAATTTCCACATCTAAAAAAAAAAAAACAACAACAAAACCTTGACCAAAAAAAGCTCCCAAATAAATAAACACCGTACTGTATTGCATGAATAATTTGTAAGTCAAGAGAAAATCCCACTGGCTGAAGGACTGCAACTCGATGGGGGAGGCTGATAAAAACAGAACTGAGAGACCTGTCGGAGTGGCACTCGAGTGGGAAGGAGTGCCAGGCTAGGACTGCTTTGAGGCATACTTTCTCACGTGATACTTAATTTGAATTGGTGCCTAGAACTCGGATTTTGAAATGTGGCAACACTCTGTGGAGATTCCTTGGAAAGTACGGAAAATGTTTTTGCCTTCACTAGATAGAAAGGAAGGCTTGCTGCTTAGGTGTTTCAGCAGCAAATAGATGTAGTAAAACTGTCAGTTACATGAGTTACTGCGTTCCAAATATTTTCAGAAGAATGATATCCCTAATTATTTCTAGAAAATATTCATTAAAAATGAATTAGAATTCATAATTCCACTGTCACTTTAATATTGGAACCAATCTCCTGTGAAGTCAGTGATGGAGGTTTCTCATTGCATACTTTTAAGCCATGTCTTGAGTGATGCTTGTAAAAAAATTAGACTTAGATGGTAAATGTTTCAAAAAGAAATGCTGCATACTTGTTTTCTTTCTATAAAATAGAGACATAAAAGGGGAAAAAAAAAAAAAGCCAACGTTTGTGTTTGTTGGGAGAGCGTTCATTCTATGCTTAGCTAGATCTCTAGTGTTACACTTTCGCTCAAGTTTCATGATACTGCTTATCAGCCTGGAGGAAAATGATAAAAAGCTGCAAATCAGAACAGTCAGATTGCAAATATTTTTCAAAAAATACTTAGAAATTCTGAGGTTTGTTTTATAGTCCCATTTTCCATCTGTAGGTGTCCTTGGAATTGATGTAATGCTCTCTTAACTGCTCTGTTATTTCTTGATCCCTTAGGTTTGAGCAGTTGCTGCTTAGTGTTAGCAGATAAGCAGGGGCTACCAGAGGCCAGCAAAGTAATAAAAGATTCTTTTCATTTCTGATTTTTCTTGTGGAAGAAATATGACAGCCTTTACAGTACTTACTTGGTTTGTGCCTCTTGCCACTTGCCCGTCCCATCTTTAGGATCCTGAACGAAGATCAGCACTGAGCATGCTGACCAGTGCTTTGTGCTGCTTTCCTTGGGCTTTCTATGCCTGTTATCAGTTTTGCAGCTGCCTGGCAAGCTGTTGGTGCAGGAACACTCATTGCTCTGTAGCAGGTCGTAACTCAGCATGGGGAGTTCTGGGCAGTGACTGGGATTTAAGGCGTAGTTATTTGATGAGGATTGTAGGGGAAAGGTCATTATTACTTTTCCTAATAATGAAAAATCAGCAAAGCTCTAGGGCAACTTTGCACGAAGTATCATAATGGGCAATGTTAAGCTTCTTTTGAGGAGAGTTGCTAAGAAGCCCTGGCTGGCCAGTCAGGTGATGTGGAGTGGCTGTTCCAGGGCTGTTCATGTGTGTAGAGGGATTCACCATTAGCTGGTATTAATTAGAGTCCTTTAAGTACTGTTACCTATTAATTCAGTGCTTGCACTTGATTTCTTTCCTGAAAAGTAGCATCTTTTTATATACTGTAATACCAGGAAAACAATTCATCCTATCTAGCAGATAATAGAAAAGGTATCTTGTGTGCTACAGCTCTTAAAAAAGTTATGTTGTTGTGGGCTAGGGTGTGTTTTCCTACACAGCTCAGATAACCTTTCCTGGTACTGTATGTAGAGAACATATGGTTGACTGTCTGACACGTTCACGTCTCCATCGCAGCTAAATAATCCCTCAATAATAGATATAATCAGACTTGGACATCAGTCAGCATTCTCAAGCCTTGCCTTTCCTCAGTGCCTGCTTTTTTATTAGCTCTTTTCAATATATTTTTTTCCTTTGATAGGTAACACTTGTGTGGCTGTTACTTGTTAATAGGTTGTGTGAGCATTATACTGATGAAAAATGTGAGTTAGACCCAAAAGACCACAGGGTTGATATCAAGTGAGTGAGAATAATAGAGTAATGCAGGTCTAGAGAAGTTGGAGAAATGGCCATGTTAACCACTCTGGGCCTGATTCTTCAGTCCAAACTATGTGCAGAGCTCTGGATGAGCTTTGTGCTCATACGTGAAATTATATGACTGAAACTTGACTTCAATGAAAAAAAAACAAAAGTGGAATCCCAACACAGCTTTTTAGAGGCATGAGCAGCAAGAATAGATGTGCCTGGGTTTTTATGTTCTGAAGTAGAGCAAGAGGCTCAGCATAATGAGAGCTTGTCCCACAAAGGAACCATCCCATGACTTCATGATCCTGAAGGAAAACGAGCATTGGAACAGTGAAATTATGGTTTTTAAGGTATTTTGAAGTGTAGATTTGGTGGAGGTATTGTGCTGTGCCTTTCCTTCTTGGAAGTCCCTCTTTTGGAAGAATCACAGAATCACCAAGGTTGGAAAAGACCTTCAAGATCATCCAGTCCAACCACGACCTAACCATACCCTAATCAGAAAACTCCTAGCTTTCCTGTTTCTGTTCCTTGTTTTTATTAAACTATGTTAATATTTTTTCCTTGTTAACATGCCTCCTTTCTTCCAACGGTTTCAACTGCCTTTCCTGTGAGGTGTTCTGATTTCATGTAGATATGTTAATCATACCAGTTGTTCTCAGTTTGGATTTTTGAGGCTTGCATTTCTTTCAATCTTGAAGGACTTCCTTTGCCTGCCATCCTGTCTGTTGTTTATAATTTTATTGTTTGATATGATAAGCCTGTGTGTAAAATAAATATCTCTAAAAATATATGGCTTAGAGCTTTTTGTAAACTTAGGCTGTTTGGTTAGCTTTACCTTGAAGAATTTCTACAAAGTCAGGAAGTACAATGCTTGAATATGTGCTTAGATTGGATAAACAACAATCTGAAATGAGATGGGATCAGTAACTCAATAAAGCCCAATAACTGAACACACGAGACCAAAGCTGGTGAAGCTTTGAGCTTAAGGTCTTACATTGTGCAATCCTGTATAAGTTGAAGATGTTTTGCCAGGTCCTATCTTTTCTTGTGATTTTTTTTTTTTTTTTTTAATATAAAAGTGGGCTCCTGGGTGATGAAATAGGCAATCTTTTGCACTATTCTGCTATTAATTCCTTTTTTGATGTTTGACTTAGTATCTGTCTGCCTGACTGACACCTTTTGCCTTTTTCATATAAATTACTGCACCAATCTGGTTAATTAGAAGATTAAACCATTTTTTGCATGTTATATTTCACTCACTTTTGAACTGTCTAAGCAATGTAGAAGTTGTGATGTATTTAGTGACTTCACAAAGAATTAAATTGCATGTGCAGCCTCTAAGAAATGAGCAAGTAGGCTTCTACAAAAAATGGCCAACTATAGTAACCAAATAATTTATGGAAAATCATATTACATTAGAAGATTTTTAATTTTCAATTCCAGAAATTAAATATAACTTGTGTAACATTCTAAGCATTAATTTTATCTTGCCAGTGCAGGAAATGACGTTTATTTACATATTTTAATTTGAAAGTGAGAAATCCATTTTCAATTGGGACATTTTCATCTAAATAAATGTTCTCTGTTACAGAGAGAATTGGCAAGTAAATGAGGACCAGGGAGCAGCATTCCAATATACAAATTTAGTATATTCAAATGTTATGCAATCATTTAATCCATTCTCTTCCCCAATGAATTACATATCAGAAATATTCAAAGAGTAGAAAAAAATAAAGACAACTACAATTATACATACCTAAAGGAGTGAAGCTGAGAAACGTGAGGTTATCTGCATTTTTTTCTTCTACAATGCAGTTCTTGTAGTTGTTAAGAAATTTAAAATAAAAAGTAAAAAAATGAGTGTTTGGGTTACTTGAATTTGGTTGTATCCCAGGATTGCCTCTTAGTCAATTCAGAGATGGAATAAGTGTGTTCAAAAGCTGTTAGCAACCTGGTGATGGTTTTTATTGGAGATTCCGTATCTCTTATGGCATTGCAGCACAGTAGGTTTTATTGGTAGATATTACCATATAATTGATCATACGTTGTGTTTCTGAGTTTTTTAATTGCTAAGTTCTTAACATTCATTGAGTTTTTTGTAATATATAGTGGCAACCAATCTTTTAAAGGAAGCTTTTTCTTCTGAATCTCACTGATATCAAGAAGGTAGATTTTCACTTTGCATTATTGTCTGTATTTTGTGATTCAGGCAGCTATTGAATCTCTGGAACTTCAAGAAGAAACAAAAGAGGAATCTGATGAAGAGGAAGATGATGATGAAGAGTCTGGAAGATTACGTTTCAAAACTGAACGGAAAGAAGGAACAATAATTAGACTCTCAGATGTGACAAGAGAAAGGAGAAACATTCCAGAAACTTTGGGTGAGATTCTGTGGCAATTTTGAAGAGCTGTAATAAAAGAAACTTAAGAGGCTTTGTAGAACTTTTGACAACTGCTTTGGTGAAAGATAGGATGGCCTTCTTTTAACTTAGACTGGCCTCTATCCAGGTTGTCTGCAGTCATTTTCAGTGTGTGCTGTGTCCATCTCCTTGGTGGTAACGTTTAAGCTTACAGCATTTTGAACGCGAGCACAGTGTCTTTTCCTTGACATTTCTGCGGTGTCTTCAAAAGCCGTGCTGTTCTCAAGTGGCGGCTGCCTGATCTTTGTTTTACTGCTTATTGTCATGGAATACATTTTAAGGAATTCCTTGAGGAAGATTTTCACTTTATAACACTTGCACGCACTAAGCACGCACTTTCTTATCTATGGTTTCAGTCTGTACATATAACAAAGAGACTAGCCAGTGAGAAGACAACCTGTACTAGAGCTTGAATATTAGAAGAATAGTGCTTAGACTTTGTTGCCTGTGTTCTGCTGTCAAATAGCTGTCCTGCTTACTTTTTTCCCCTCTCAGGAATATGTTCAGAACCTATTGTGTTCCCACTGCTGGATTGGCCTGGAGAAATTATAACTTGCTGATCCCCAAACCTATTTGGGTGCTAGAAAAATATGGAAGCCCCATCTTCTCTTTTTCAGGTTTATGAATTTATCACTATTCAGAAGAAGCAGTAGATGAGCAACTTTTGTACAGCTGCCCTGTTTCAGTCTGTAAATAGAACAAAATTGCCTTGTGTTTTTTGAGGCTTTCTGAGTCCCTGTGTGCTGTGAGGGAGACAGCAGTGTACGATTTTTTTTGTTTTGTTTTTAAATTAATATCTTTCTCATCCATTGATATCCATCTCATCCATGATTCCTTATGATTTTGGGCAAGGTGTATATTAAAGGCCATCATCTCGCATTGTTTTCATAGTGAAGTACTGATCATGATGGCAACAGGACTGAAAGAACCCTCTGGAGGAGTTCACACAAAAATAATCTACGTGGAAAAGGGGCATTTTGGCTGTTCTGCAGTCCAAATGTATTTTCAACCATAAGACAGTGTATCTTATTTATAAAAAAGGTGCCGGTGACTTTACAGAACAGGGTTCTCTTAAAAATAAGAGTTCATTGGAATGGCTGAATCTCAGTACATGATTGTGAAGTGGCTTGCAGTTGCATGCACTTTTATATCTATGGTTTTAGTCTGTACGTATGAAAAAGACTAGCCAGTGAGAAGACAACCTATACTACAGCTTGAATATTAGAAGAGTAGTGCTTAGAATTAGACTTGCTTCTGTGGGTAATTTAGGATGTAGCTCTGACTTAAAAGGAGAAGATGATGCAAATGCAGGTGAATTTGTAAACAGCTTGTTTATCCTGCTTTTTTGGACAAAATACAATCTTGCTGTTATGAAATGGCTCCTATTCGTACTAGTTTTGTGTCTTAATTTGTTGATAAAGGACCAAATAACTGATCACATAGTATAAAGTTGTTCTCAGGAAATGCTTTTTCCTTGCCTGTGAGATTATAAGGCAACTCTGTAAATATGGCTGGTTTAAAAATGAAACTTTGTTGTAGAGCCTCATTTCCTTACTTTAACATCTGAACATAGTTGAGAAAACACTTACAGAGAAATTAACATTTCAGTTGAAGTTACAAACGTAATTTCCATCCTGTCACATTTTGGTGACCTTTTGTGACAGCTTGTCTCTATTGGAGGAGTGCATTCTTTCTTGCTGATTAAAGATGTCATTTGAAACCATTTTATTACTAGGGATATTGAAATTAATCTTGACACTTAGAGACACTAGAAAAATAATTGCTGATTCACTGCATTAACTGCATGCATGTGAGAGACTGTACAGTCAAGATCAGAGTAAGTGTGTGCAGGGCAAGCCGTGTAAAAATAGAGTATCTCATAAATGTAGCTGGGATCTCTCCTAAATATTTTCTTATCCATGGTAAAGTAAGTAATTGTTTTAAAGCGTTTGAACAGAGAGATTGTAGAATGGCTAGGCCATTGATTTCTAAAAATGCTGAATCTTTTTAATTATCTTTGGTGAGGCATATATAGCATTTAGTGCATGCGATGAACTCTTCAATGAGTTGGAACTGCCATTTTGCATCGGATCTGCTTACCCAAGAGAATAGGAAGGAAAAAAAAAAAAGCTGTAATATCACCAAACTAAAACATTAAAAAACAAAAAGAAGAATTAGACTCTCACAAACTGGTAACAATTATTATTGTTTGAGGAACTACTTTCTTCTGTGTTCTGATTAGTTTGTGTTCACCGTGCTAACTTACGGTTGAGATTTTGGGCAAGGAAAGAGGCTTGAAATGAGAGCTCTGTTTTTGCCAGTTTTTTTTCTGCCTGCTTTTACTGCTTCTGACAGCAACAGTGGATAAAGTGATTGCTTTAGATGCATCTTATACTTTTGATTGCATTGTATAAGAGGATAGTGATCTAAATTTTCTTCAGTAATCCATAATGTGTATGCTTACTGTAAAAAAGACTTCAGGGACTGTGATTCCTTGCCCCTTGTCTGGGCATGGTATGAGATTTTTGCGGAAGAAACTTTTTTGTCTTGGGCTCTGCTGATCTCCTGAGGCAGGTACTAAAGCAGAGGTGCTATTTCATAAGAATATCTGGTGTAACTATAAATTAAGAGAAATTTTTCTCATTGCCAGCATGAACAAATGGCACAGGAAACGTTATGGCAGGTATTGGGATTGTAGAGTGTCATTTTGCTGCATTCTTGGACAGTCAACCAGTTTTAAACTTTTAAGAATCAAAGAGCCCCTGTTTTCTGTATGTGTCGAATACCTCTGAAAATTGGGGCACATGAAATGGCAGCCTTTGCAGGTCTGTTGTACAGCTGGTATCTGTAGCTCAGTAAGAACAGCTGAGTCGGTGGGAATATGCTGTTCTCAATCTTTTGTGCCCTTCTGTCAATCCTCCATTTCAAAAACTAGCTGAGATTACTTATAAAGATGTTGAAGGTGGTGGGTTAAGTAGCTTTGTCTGTTACACTTGCAAGAAATATTAGCATCATATTAGTGTCTTCAGCTTAAGAGTGCTGTCAGATGTAAAATGTTTTTATTTTCATCTTCATATTTTGCAGTATTAACAAGTAGCTGTTTTATCCTGGAAACAGATCTCTGTGCCTCGCCTCCTTTAAGAGGAGAATTCTTAAAAATGGAAAAATGGAAATGTTGCTCTGACTGCCATTCATGTCAAAATATGTTTCGTTTTGTTTTTTTTTTTTCTTTTGGTCAGGAGTGCATTTCTTGTAGAATCACAGAATCATAGAATGGCTTGAAAAGGACCTCAGAGATCATCTAATTTCACTTCCCCTGCTACAGGCAGAGTCAGCAACTACCAGACCAGGCTGCCCTGAGCCATATCCAGTCTGGATGTAGACTATTTAATTTTCCACTGTTAAATGTGAAAGTGAAGGTTCTCACTGGCATGTGGTGAAATGCTCAGCTGCCTGCTTGGGTTTAAGTTTTTCCCCTTTAAATAATGGATGCCTCAAGAGTGGCACTGCTGGAGGTGTCATGGTGTTTGGTGATTCTATTGTAGACTTTCTCTACATATCCAAGTAATTTGATTACCTGGCCCTGTTACTGCATAATTTTCTTAGTTTTATCAGCATTGTTTCAATTTTTAGCTAAGTTTGGCAGACTTCATTGAGTACCATCTGTTCTCTGGTGTTTGCTCGTGGTGTGGGTTGGGTGTGTATCAGACTTGTCAGTGACTGTATCAGGCTTGAGCTGAGCACTCAATTTGAAGTGTGCTCTGAGTGGAACTTGGGAAGTACTGCTGGTTCGTCAGCCACGTCAAATGTACGTAAGTAGTTTCACAAAGTAAAAACGCAGCTCACTGGCAGCAGTGTCCTTCTTTGTTTTGCACATGGGCATATTCCATTCTTTGGGTTGAATCTCTTTTTATGGAAGGCTCAACAGATCCTTGATAGTAAAGATTGCTTGGGCTTTTATTGTGTCACCTGGCATTTCTGCAGATACATGAGAGGAAAAACAAACCTTTTTGTTCATGTTTGTTTCAGTCACCTGCCAGTTCTTTGCCTGTGCAACAGACACAAGTGCGTGTGCTTTTTTCCTGTTGGAGATGTCATTAATGAAATGTTAACATGTCACCTGGAAGAGATCAAAGTGCCTGCAAAAATTCTCTTAGTTTCAGGGATGTTTCTATGATTCTAGCATTGTTTTTTTTCCCTGGTATTTTCTATGCTTTCAGCTTGAGGTTAATTTTTTTTTTTCCATCTCTTTTTTTAACAGAACTTTCTGCAGAAGCCAAAGCAGCATTACTTGAATTTGAAGAAAGGGAAAGGCAGCTTAAACAGGGGCGATACGGCTCAAGGAGAGGAGGGCGAAGAGGAGGCTCAATTATGTGCCATGGAATGGGAGAACAAAGGAGAGACAATGATAGGGGAAGAATGAAGGATCACAGACCTGCACTGCTGCCAAACACACCATCGACAATGGTACCTTTTAATCCTTAGTATTCTTTGGACGTGCTTTCAGGAAATGATGGAGAGAAGGCACTCTAAATCACATGTCTTTTTGAAGGTGGAATATATATTCCAACATACACTTCTTACTCCTTTGGTGTTCTGTTAGGTCAAACGAGCTTTGAATAATGTGATGATTGTGAAAGCATGGGGTTAATCCTGTTACCAGCCTTGAGGAATCTATAAGCTTGCAGATGAAAATCAAATTTTGACTCAAATACAAACAGGCAAGGCAGTAGAGACCCTGACTGAGCATGGAGGAGTAAGATATTTCCTCTGAGATAGGTGCAATATGGGGATGTGTTCAGTCCGTGTTACAAATAGTAGCTTAGTAAAAATGAATATAAAGTAACTCAGGGTTTTTGTGGAACTGTTTTTTCTTTTTGTCATACTTTGCAGCTTATAAAAATTGATTTGTATTTCCACCATTCTACTGTGGAATCAAATTGAAACAAAAGAATCCCACCTAGACAAATTAATTCTGTAAGATTTTAATTGAAATTTGTCTTTGTTACTGTTATTTTTCTGCTTGTACTTTGTATCACAACTAGAAGGTGTTACTTTTTCCATCCAGACAAGCAATGTGTAGGATCCAGGGGCATCCCAGGCTTGCTTTTCTAACTGTTATGGTGTACTGGAAACTGACTTGTAGAACAGCCTCAGTGTATGCCTTTGCAGGATGAGGTCATTTGTATTAAACAATGAGAATTTTTTCCAACAGCAGTAACTGTAGGTATTGTTCTGTAGCAGGAGTTGGTGGATGGCTTGATGGTTGAAAGCCCTGCCAGAGGAATATTTTGTATTTTTAAAACTGTGAAGATGGAATCATTTTTTTTCTGTACTGCTGCACTCTTTGCTACTTATTCTGATCTTCAATGTTGTAAACATTTCTGTGCTAGTCATAATATCTTGTGCGTTCCTTGTAGCTGCCTTGCTTGACGTTCATGACTGCTGGAAGAAACAGATGTGACATATCTTTGTTACTAAAGGGTTGTGTGCTTGATTCTTCTTGCATTGTGATTTTAAAGCTCTGGTTTAGAGCTGACCTGTAGTATCAGTGAGTTCAGAAGTAGAAGAACGAGTGTCTCTGAAGGAGAAACTTGGTTTTTGTTATTTAAAAAAAAAAAAAAATAAAAAAAAAATTGGCTATTCATGTCTGAGATACTGAACAAGAGACTTGTTTTTGTTTTGAAAGGCATCTTTGAAGCAGATGAACATTTTTTCTTTCCAACAGTATGAGCAGATAGACTGCACTGATAGCTCAGGAGTCTGTTTAATTTATTTTGAGTTTTCTTCCAGCTGTTAGTTCTGTCTTCTCAGGCTCTTATACATTAGGCAAAAGTTAGTGGATTTGCTTTGTTACTGGAACTCATCACATACGTCCTAACACAGCTGATGGCAGCTTCCAGTGACGTATGCAAACCCTAATCTATGAAATGAGGAAGTTTCACAATTTAAAGAAAAACAGAAAAACAACAACAAAAAACCCCCTTGAAGATAAATGCATTCTTATAATGTTCTCAATGTGTGTACATCCCGGCAGCACTGCTGTTCACTTGTGAATTTTTTTTCTTGCTCTTTGCTGTTTTCTTTTTTGTGCTGATGTCTTTTCCTTTGCTTTCCTGTGCTAATTGATCCATTTGATTTGATGATATGGGAAAGAAGTTTTTTCCATTCATATTTGGCCTTAGTTGTGTTTTCCAGAGGTGTCTTATTTTTGTGCTGGTTTATGTCAGGTTTTGTGAACTTTAAAGCCTATTGACTTTGTTCTTTTGTCTGACTTTAGACTCATTCACAGAGGTTAATTCCAACACACCAGCAACCTGTTAGGAGTCTGTTCCAGCACCAGCAGCAGCAACAGCAGCAGCAACAGCAACAGCAGCAGCAACAGCAGCAGCAGCAACAGTTACAATCTCTGCTTCCTTTACAGCATCAGCATCATTCTTCTCCTCCTCCAGGGCTACATATGCCCCCTCAGATAGAAACACCTAGAATAATGATGACTCCACCGCCAGTGACACCTCAGCAACCGAAGAACATACACATAAATCCCCATTTCAAGGGAACAGTAGTGACGCCTGTACAAGGTGAGCTTTCTGAACGCAGTCATTAGTATGTAACTCATTGTTCTTTGCTGGGGATGCAACCATGTTTGTTTACTACTTCATGTAAATGTGCTTTGGGCTGATTTTTTTTTTTTTCCTTAAATATTTTGTAACATTGAGCAAGGTGATGTGAAAAAGGAAATCATACAAAAGAAAGAAAATACAGTGATGTAGTATGTCTGCTGTTGGACTGTGGCCAGCAGGGATTAGTAAATCCATTTCCACTTCTTTATTACCTTTGCTTCTCCAAAGCCTTCAAAGACCAATAAAACTGTAGAGAGAATGTGTTTTAAAAGTAGCAGATGTTGGTCTTCAGTACCAGGTACATATTGCAGTTTAGAATTCCCTATATCATTCTAAGTTCAGCCAAGGATTCACAGAATGACCACCCACCTATTTTAGTGAGAATATATAGAATCATAGAATGACTTGGGTTGGAAGGGGCCCCAAGGATCACCAAGTTCCAACCCCCTTGCCCTAGGCAGGGCCACCAACCTCCAGATCTGGCACTAGACCAGGCTGCCCAGGGCCCATCCAACCTGGTCTTGAACACCTTCAGAGACAAAACATACACAGCCTCTCTGGGCAGCCTGTGCCAGCACCTCACCACTCTCTTGATAAAGAACTTCCCCCTGACTTCCAATCTAAACCTTCGCTCCTGGAGCTTAAAACCATTCTCCTTTGTCCTGTCACTGTCTATCCAAGTAAAAAGTTGATTCTCCTCCTTTTTACAATTCGCTTTTAAATACTGGAAGGCTGCAGTGAGGTCTCCTTGTAGCCTTCTCTTCTCCAGGCTGAACAAGCCCAGCTCCCTCAACCTGTCTTTGTAAAATAATTACATGAAGGTAGTCTCTGAACTATAATTGTATAATTGCTTTGTGAAAGCTACCAGCTGTAGTCCTCACATAACAGTGTGTATGTGTTCAATTTTCATTCAGTGCTGCATTTATGATTATTTGATTGATAGTGTAGAAGTGTATTAGAAGCACACTTTTTCTGCCACTTGACACAAACGCTCTTCGGGGTACACCGTTTAGGACAGCTCTCAGCAGGCAGAACTGTTAATATTGCTACTTATTTGGAAAGCATTATCCTTAAGAGGATAAAGAAAAGGCTGATTTGTGATTGAGTCTAGACAAAACAAACGAAAGGTCAATGTGGGTGTATCTACTTTTAGGTTTTCTGGTTTTGTTGGTTTGGTTTTTTTTTTCTTCTTTAAATTAGCAGATCTGCAAGTCTGTATTACCTTTGCTTCATTTGTTTGTCCAATGGAAGGCAGGAATTTGGCACGGTAGGATATTGCCAGCTGTTAGACACCTGTTAGACTTCTTGCAGTTGGCTGTGCAGTAGCTGCTCCATTAAGATTATTTCATTTTTTCCTTTCCAATAAAATCTGGTTCTTATGAAATTAGGTATCAGGGCAGTTTATCTGGAAGCAGTTTGAGAAGTCCTTGAGTGTTGGATGTATGCCTTCTGTGAATTTTACTAACATTTCCGAAGCAACAATTCTTGTTTCGTGAGAAGCAAAAATAGATTTTAGACAATTCTAGATGCCACTCTGTTCTCCTTCTGAAACAGTCCATACATCTTGTGTAGCTGTGTGAACAGGTTTCCTTCTGATGGTAGTAATGGTTACTGGGGATTTTTACTTTTGCCTGATGTCAGAAGTATACTAGTGTATGTTATCTCTTTTGTCTGAGTTTTTTCTGTCATTGTTATGGCAGTTATCTCAGCCTGTGGCACCTTGGGCATGCTTGGGGTCTGCTTTTGTCTTGAGCATAGCCTTATTCTGTTCTTTTTAGAACTTACAGACTTTGTGTGCACGTTCATTTCTTCACTGGTAAGACTAGTCATCCTCTCTGAATGAGCAGCTCCAGAGAATGATTTTTCAAATGGTAGAACACCTGCATGACAGCGAGTAAGGTCTTTGTATGTGTGTTGATGGCAGTTGGTTCGTAAGAAAAAAACTTCGTGCCACCCATTTTACTAAAGGTTATTGAATGTTTCTGCTGACAGATGTGCAGCATACTGTTAAATGTAACTGCAGAAATTCTAGTGATTTAAATCTCTTTATTAGTGAGCAGTTAGCTTTCTGCAGCGGCTGAGAACAGTGGCCATCTCAGTCTTAGCACATACTAGTGGAGTTCTGTTGCATGAAAGTGTACATTTGCATACTGAAGGAAAACATGTGGGACATCGTATGTCTTTTCTAGGGAAGATGAGCACAATTCTAAAATCTTCAGTGGAATTTGCACAGTAAGATGAATTTTGAAGCAATCACTGTAGGCAGATGGCAAATAGAAATTCCAGTGTAGGGATAACTGTTCTAAATTTCTTAATACCGAGCAAGAGTTTCAGTACTCCAGCTTGAGGCCCCAGCAGAGAGGCACTGGTAGCTGAGAGTACAAGCATGTTTGACATGCAGCAGCATTCGTTTTGAGGTAACAGGAACTGTGGAAGAGATGAGATTAATTAATGTTCTTGATGATATCCAGCCCATTCTCAACTGAATCTCTTTCCAAACATGAGGTTTTTTACTTATCAGAGAGTGCAGTCATTTGGATTCAGTTGTTTAAAGTGTGATGCCAGGAAGCCAGAATGCCATGTCTGGAAGTGCATGGTAGGTACTCTTAGGTTCTGTTAGTTTTAAGTGTGCTGTTGTTTCTTCACATGGACTGGCATTTTTTTTTTGCTTCTCTAATTTTATGTCGTTAATATACACTTACACTGTCACACCAAGGGTATGTGTTCTTACTCGCAAGCCATGGAAGTATTCTTTCTCAACATTTTTTTTGGCTTTTCATCTTGAAATGTGCTCAGTATATCAGTGTTTTCTAAAGTAGACTAAAATCTGTGAATTGTCATGACACTTTTATTTGAAGAAAAATAGCATTTCAGATTTCTCGTAGCCATCAGCTTTAGCCAGAGTGAGCTGAAGCACTCCTGAAGTATCCCATTATTGGCTTATTTCTTTGTTCCAGAAGCAAATCTTCAATCTCAGTTCAGAAAACAAGGAAACCAACCAGCAGTTGCTTTGTGTCAAGCCAGTTTTCTCAAACAAATTTCTAGTAGTTTTTTGGTCTTTGAAGCTTCATAAACGATTAAGAAAGGCTCAGTCTGTCAAGTGAGTGTCACTTAAGTGAGTGTCTATTGCAGATACTATTTGTTAGCATTCAGTTGTATCTTTTGTGGCATTTGAATCCCATGTCTTGCTGTTGGTTGCTTGTCATAGTTTTTTTCTTTTGTATCCTATTCTGTAAATTATTTTTGACTTGTTAGAAGAAATTTCTGGCTGAGTGTGTGTCCAAATTTGAGTATGATCAATTCACAAATACCAGAGGATCACATGGTAGAAGTAGATGTATGGTGAAATAGCCTGTGATTTTAGTACTGAATGTTTTTTTTTCTCCTTAATATTTATATCACAAATAACTATTTCAAAGCTACTGTAGTGCTGACAAAATTGATAGGAGCTATTAATGAGCAGCTTGTGGCAGCTCTGTGAATTTTCATGCCATTTACCTTTTTGAAAACTGTTTTATGTCTTGGGAAAAATTACATTATTATTCTCATAAATTATCAGTATGGGAACGGCTTCTTCATCTTTACAGATAAAGCCTTGAAATTGACAGCCAAAGACAAATGACTCCTCTCAAAACAGCTTCTAGCAACGTAATACTGCGTTTGAAACGTAACTTTCAAACCTGTGCAAGATGTAACGTAGGGAAAATGAATCCTTATTTGAGAATTCTCTGCTGCTTTAGCAAGTGACTGGGTACTGGAAGGGCAGTGAGTTTGAACGATCTTTCAGGGGTATTAAATTCGTTTGTTTAAAGGAACAGGTATATCTTTATGCTCCTGTCAGAGGCAGGATACCAAAATAGACCTGAGTCGCCTGTACAGATGACAATCCTTTGCATTTATTACCTTATGTGATTTTATTTTTTTTTCCTGCTGCTCTGACCTGAGCTATTTCAGTTCTAGGTCTGTCAAGAGCTTGCTGTCAGTTTTTTCAGGTGGTGATGATTGTATGAAATTGGCAGATCTTCATTAGAAGCCAAGATGAAACTAACCATTGGACTAATCCTCTCCTGGAACCTGATGCACAGTTTGCACCTAGTCCTTCAGAGCTGACATGCACTGAAAACAGGTCCTGGTGCACTAGCTCCTGTGCCTGTATTACTGAGGAAAAATTCTTGAGGCATTTCAGCTAAATGTGTTGCTGGATGCAGCTAGTTCAGTCTTATAAAGTTGTCGACATCAGTATTTCCCCCCGTGTGGGAAAATAACCTTATTCATAGTTTTTAGTAAGTGAGCAAGTACATTCTGTACTGTTTGATTGCTTTATATTTATATTTTATATCAGCTACTGTTTGATGCTTTATATTAACTTCTGTACGTCTTTTGTCTAGCACTGATGTGTATTTACTTTAATGATTGATACAGTTCAAAGGAAGGTAGGAAGGAGAGTCTACAATGAAAAGAGAAAAATCTATCGTTATGCTTTGTACTACAGATTCCAACAAAAATTCAGTCTCCACAGTGATCCCACAGTAGTTATTTCTTTGTGTTACACCATAATTTTGAGTGGTGGTTTTGGGTCATATTTTTGGGGATCAGTTTATTGAAACGGTATTACATGGTCTGTGTTTGACTCCTTGAAATCCTATCTCTGGAGAAGTTACTTTTCAAGAAGAGGGTTCTTTTAATTCTTGATGTCTCTTTATGAAGCAAAAGTCTTCTGATATCACCAGTTCTGTGATTACACAAACAGATTTTACTTGCATTCACCATTACAGTGGGAAAGCCAGATGAAGTAGCTTTTGCTTACTGTTAATTGCTGCTGCCTGCCTGCCTCATTGTACCCTCCCATGAACAATGATTTATGCCAGATAGATTTTTCTTATGCCTGTATTTGCTGTGGGAGTAGGTGGTGACACTGAGACATACGTAGGAAACGAGGGGCATTAAGTGGGAAGGTGAATTAATCATGTGTCCTTCTATTTGAAACATGGATTTATTGTTCAGAGTCTGTGTCAGCTTTGTCTGAGAGACATCTTTGGCTGAATACTTACTGTTTTTTTTCTTCCCTGAAACAAGAAGCAATCTAATTCTGGAAAATGCAGAATTAAGTTATGTAAATGAACTAGGAGAATCCTAATTGCCCTGTTGCATGTTGCAGGAGAGGGAATGGTTGCTTGAATTTAATTGTAGGAACTGTGACATGTGAGGGTAAATGTAGCAGATTTTAATCATGGCTTCTTATTGGTACTTCTTTTGGAAATAACAGCAACAACTGTTAGGTGAAACAAATGGTGTTAAAAGGTGCTTCTTGTTTCAGTGCCCTTGCTGCCAGTTCCAGCCCAGCCAAGACCTGCTGTAGGACCCCAGAGATTTCCTGTGAGTAGCAGCTGTTTCTTCTTCTTTGATATGGATAAGCATACATTTGCAAAGAAATATTAATATAGCAAATAAAGGCTGTTCTAGTGAAATATAATTTTAAGGATTTGTAAATATTGACAATACACTCTGCAGTTGAAAATGTTTGTTAAAAGCTTAAGGTCAATGGATTTTTGAGAGTAGAATTAATTCTGTTTAACTGTAAAATTGTTGAACCAATCTCTCCAGTGGGAGAGGCATGAATGCATCTTATCTTAAGGAATATGGGCTTTATTTTATTACTTGAGTCTTTCTGTATGAATAGAATCCTTACTTTATTTGATGTAATAAAAGGCTGTTTGAAAAACATCTGAAAGCCTAACAAGCAGTATTATTTCTGTGTTTTAAAAATCAGAAAAAATTGCATTTTTATCATTACTTCAGACATTTAAATGCCTTTAAATTATTTTATTGGAAAAGAGAATGGGCTTGTGTTCTTGCATGTTTCTACCTTCCGAAACAAACAAGATACCTAACAAGATACCTAACTACTTCATGGTGATCATTTTTACTTTTTTTATGAATGAAGAAAAACGCCCTTCTTGATCATTTTTAATTTATATTTAACAGTTCTGTTGTCGTGAAGTTTTAATTCAAGTGGTTTGTAGAGTATCAAGATAAGAATAAATAAATAAATAAATATATAGTACAGTATTTCCCTAAACATTTTTAGCTGACGACACATACATTGTTTCCTAAACACACACAAAAAATGGTTCTTTGTTAATGGTTGTGGTGTAGTGTTGCACAGTGAATTACTTGCACAGAGGTCAGATGAATTTGAAAACAGCAGATTTTGGAAACCTGCTGTAACTTCTGATTGCTGTGTGCATACTAGGTTGCTTCTGATGCAGAGTGTTTTTTAGACACCTAGGTGAGTAACTGCTGTCCATACTTTGTAGAGTGGCTGAGTTTTCAAATTATCACATTTCCTTTATAAGACTTATATAGTAAAACTGCAGTTTCATCAGCTTTATCCATTACATAGTTTCAGTGTCAACGTTTTAAGTGCAGGTAGCTTTCTGTTCAGAAATATTGTGGTTTTAAGAGGAAGTTCCCTTCAGAGCCTGTAGTATTAAGCAGAAACCTTATTAACATTTTAGAAGTATCTTGCCTGTGGTTTCCTTTGACATTAACTTGCTTGTGTCAATAAACACAATTCAGTATTAAAAAGAAATTAAAGGACAAGGAATATCTGTAAAGGCATTGTAATTGACGTCTTTGAAGTATGTTTACATCAGTGTAGAAAAATTGGAAATTAATTTTTTTTAAATTGACTGTGAAATTAGATTTTAATTCTGTTTACTTTTGTTTTTGAAAGTTGACAAGTACTCCAGCCTCACTAATCTTGTGTGCACCCATTTTTTAAATGGAATAAAGTCAGTGAACGTTTTTAGTACGACTGTTGTTCCTTTTGCCTGAAGGAAAATACTACTTGCTGCCATTTTATGTAAGCATTCCACTAGCAAAGAGTCGATGTAATTTGCTTTTATTAGGAGAAAGAAAGCTTTAACTGTAGAATCCAGTGTGATTTGACTGCCTTGAGTGTTTTTTTCCCCTTCGGCTAGTAACCTGCTCTGTGGCCATGAGAAAGGTGCTTAATCTCTCCATGACTCAGTGGTTTGTAAAATGGGTATATGTTCTTCCCTTATGAAGTACTTTATGAATTTTGCATAGGTGATCAGTTAGGATTAGGAATTAAGTGTCACTGTGCACAAATGATGTTTGTTTTATTAAATGTAGTACGTTTGTTCTTGAGCTGAGCACAAATTTACTTTGACTTGAATGTTTTATCTTGCAGAACTACCTTTCCTTGCTTTGTTACACGTCAAACGCTGCTGTGTTGTTATAATTCACTTGTTTATGTAGAGATGTTGACTCTTAGCAGTATAGCAGTGGTTAGACAACTTTGCTGACAAGCCATTTGAAAAAGATCAAAGTAGTGTTCCAGGCTGCAGTGTATTCATGCTTTTTCTCATTATAAAAGGAGTCTCTGGGTATGCAATCACTTGGATTGACTCTTGTTTTAGGATCACCTGATCTTAAGATAGTAGTCAAACAGTCTGCTGGTTGCTTTGTTTCTAAAAACTCTGGAGTTAAAAATATTTTTGGTCTTCTTTCCCCTGTGAGTTTGAACTGAATGCTTTGTTTGGTTGAATGTGGCAGAAGTGAAAATGTAGGGGAGGGACCTACAAGTGCTGGTGCCTTGTCTGAAAGAAAGATAGCATCTGAGTTCCTGTCTCATCTAGTGGAGACTTGGGAAGTCTTCCCAGAGAGCCTTTGTGTGCTCCACTTGTGAGAGCAGCTTCAATCAGAGCAACTGCTACTCAATTGCAAGTCATAAATCCATTGGAAACCAGGTGTTACTAATTTAGGGCTAATGAAGTGACTTGTAACATGTAATGGTTAATTCTTAAAACCTTTTGCAGACAGATGTAATTGAAGAATGAACAAAGTTGTAATGAACGTGTTAGCATATTGGTTTCGGTTCTAAACTGTAAGAAATAATGTAGTACTAAATTGGGTAATGTTGATCAGAACTGAATTGTCTTGGATGTGGGACAAATTAAATTCACTGACAGCCCTCAATCTAAATTCTAATATTTCAGGGTAAAGCATATTGTTGAATTATTTCTCACTTAAAGCTTAACTCCTTGTGCTTAGAGAGGAAGTCTGGAAATGACACGATGGAATTAATCCAGTTGTTTTGAACTTATTTGAACATTTAAAGTAATTTTGACTCAAATAAGGAAGTTGTCCATGTCTTACTCTATAATGATTCAAGGTGACTTAGTCTTAACAAAATTTAAGAGCTGTAGTTTACTAAGTAGGACTGAATAAATGGTGGATATGAGACACGTTAGTAGCTGAGAAATGTGGTAAAGTTGTGCTGACTTGGAAGTTAAAGACTTGAGTTCTGCAGAGGCTTCTGTGCTCATATGAATGAGCTCTCTTCAGATGGCTGCATTTAGTAGTAATTCAGACTTCAGCTGTAGTTGATGTCAGTGTTTCACCAGGTGTTTGAGTTAACCTGGAACTGTGCAAGTGCCAATGCAGTGTTTTCTTTAAGCTGTTTAAAGAAGAGATTAAGCTAACATCTTCAGCTGAGTGCTTTTGGCGGTGTTGCTTTAAATATCATCTAAAGCCTTCTATTTAAAGCCGTAAAATGCCTTTCTCTGACTTTCTGTCCCAGTCAGTGTTCCTCAAGTAACAATGTTTGGGGACTGATCTGTTGGAAAGAAAACTCTGGAAGTTTTACTCATAAACTGTTGCATGGATCTCCTGAGTTTTTCACATTTTTCTGACCAAGTTAGTAGTTCTTACGGATGTTTCAATCCAGTTATGGGACTTTGTTAACCCTCTTGTGTAACGCTTGTGGTTTCTGACTGGTGGTCGTTATTTATCTAGGATAATTTTTTCTTCATTTACTGTTTTCTGTAAAGAAGAGCAAGATATAATAAAGTTTAAAAAAATTAAAAAGAAAATAAAAAAGATGTGGAGGAGGAGCTTCTGAGCACTCTGTATGTAGGTTGCTGCTAACTGACTGTTATAGAGGCCAGATCCTTACTTAGCATGTAACTAACAAAATCATTTGCTTATGAATGGCAGTTTTCAGGAGCTGAGATGATGGTGCAATTCTTTTCATCTCTTATGTGCTTTCACCAGCACATTCTAGTTTGAAATATTCCAAGAAATTGGAATGCTAGATATGCCTGAAGACTTTTCCTTCAAATATTACTTAGTTGTATTTAACTTAACACCAAAAAGATTTTCACTTGTCATTTGTGTGCAGTTTTTCAAGGACATATAAAAATGGACCAAGTGTCATTATGCCAATTTTGGGATAGAGTGTGACCGAGGGAGAATGTTTCCATTGACAAAATTCTTTAGATGGATACTGTGGACACAGTGAGGATCCCTGGCATCCAAATTTGAGGCTGGTTTAGGATTCTTGGTGTGAAGAGGGCCTTGTGGAGAGCCTGCCTCACAATGCTTTAGGCAGAAGAGAGGAATGGCGTCTTCAGGTTTGGGCTGTTTCAGTTCTGTCTTTGTTGCCATTTGATATCTGAAACCACTGCAGAGGGAGCAGAGCCTGGGAACTGTGTGCCTTTTGCAAGGAGAGTTTTCAGGGAAGTTGGATGAAAATTTATTCAGCTTATTCAGTTCTTATCCTCCTCACTCTAGCTGTGGTGAGAGCTGGGCAAATAACCACCCTTCAGACCCGTTCCTTTAAATTTGATCCTTCTGAGTTTCAGAGCTGGAACTAGGAATGGTCTGAAGTGACATGAAGCAAAAAATGAAGCTGCGCTGTTCTCTGCCTGGCTGACTTACGCCACGAGGGCTTTTGAGGTGCAAGAAGCCTTTCTCCTTTGATAGGACACCTTTTAGTGCTCTAGATGCCTTTCAAGTAACTGTTGAATTCAAATCTTAAAAAAAAAAAGTTGAATTGTACAGTGTATAAATTGTGTCTTATTCAATATAAAAATAAGACCTTAGTAGAGCAGCTGTCCTCGGGCTCTAGTGAATATTCTACATCATGAGTCTTTTTACTTCCCAAGAAGGTTTTTTTTTTTTTTTCTTTTTTTGCTCTTGGAATTTGCCTTTGAATTTTATTTCAAAATGGTCCTCATCCCAGAACACCTGAATATTTATTTTTGTTAAACTGCAGAAACCTTAGCAAACGTTGTTTACATTTTTATGGAATATTCAACTTCATCTCCAGTATGTCATTGTTGTAAATGGCTGGTGGAACAGAGAATTGGTTAGCTGTTTTGAGTCATTGCTGAAACCTTCAGTTTGGCAAATTTTCAGCTTTGAAGTTGTTTGAAATTCAGATGCTTAGAAAACACTTCTTCCTTTTAATCTGTGAGAGATGCAGTGCCCAGCTTTGCTGTCATTGATCACTGTCCTTAATTTTTGCCATTTGCTTGTAGAACTTTAGCCAAAAAGTATTAATGTTA